TGTTAAGGTGGGGATATTAATTGTGTTCCCCCTTTGATTTTGTTTAGTTAATTTTTACATTATTTTTAATGAGGCCATCCACCCACTGACTTAACTTTTGTTACAATGGTTTTTGTAGTCTATTGCACGTACTCAGACTACCAATGAGGTTAACTTGGAGTTCTGGAAAGATGTTGGATCCATCCAATGTGTTCGGTCAATCATCAAGAGGGTGATATTTGATGACTTTAGTGGAGAGGAGTGTGAACTTGCATTCCTCTCTTTCATTGCACAAAATGCAAATCAGCTGGAAGAGATTTACATCATCCCTTCCAAGAAGGATCTTTCTGCAGGGAGTTCTCTGGGGAATGTCATAAATCACTTCATGTCTTCAATATTATGGGCTTCTGCATATTGCAGGGTACAAGTTTGTGCCAGTGCAAAAAATGCTTGGAACTACCAAATGGCATCAGATCTCTCTCTTTATGACCCTTTTGGTTATATCGTGTCAGCAATAACGACAGCTTCTTGTCCTTCCCTGGTACATGGTTAAGCTACGAGTGGTGCCTAAATGTGAACATTCTTCTATTGTAAACCAGATCAGGCAGTTCTGGTGAATTCATAATAATGTAATAGTAAGACAATACTGCATGTTCAAGCTGTCTGTTGTCTAAACCTTATAGGTTGTATTCGATCCATATGTTTCAGATGAGATGTTGTTAGTTTTCTCAATGAAAAAACTATGTATTGTCCAACATTTAATCATGTAATAATTTTTTGCTCTGTTTTTTACTGATTGTCAATATATATAGATTGCGTAATCGTAATTCCTTTTTACCCTTTTTTATGCTTTGTGCCCAAAGGCATACGACACATCCCTTCTTTCTATATAATTACAACCACGAGCAGCCACCATGCATATTTAGCCATCTAATCAGAATAGTTTCAACCATCGGATCGATCTGCAGTAGGTGTTAGATGAAAGTCCCCTCCACTTCCTTACCAATTAAAATGATGCTATTAATCTTTTTCCAACCATCTAAAAATTATTTAATCTGGCAGTCAACTGGACACTAATGACATCAATTTTGGATCGACATTACCATTCCATTCATCTTTCCGTTCAGTTTTATATGCATATACTAATAAAAAAATGTATGCATATACATAGGAAAGCATACATATTTTGTTTTCCCTCACAATGCTTGTACTTGGTGAACAGTAATCAACATGCCGATCATGGAAGCATGCAATTTGCCTATGTTTCATATTCATACAGATTCCTGCAGCAATGCTAGGGGTATCAACAAATAAGACTAAAGATTTCATGGGACACCTAGATCAGAAAAAAAAAATACAACAAGTTCATTCGATGAACATTCAAAATGTTAATTAGACTTTAGCAGTACTTTCTATTAGCTACTCAGTTTGAATATTAAATCTTCAGAACATTTGATCTGGATCCATGAAAATGTAGAGAATCATGGTTGATTGAAATTTGGTGGATTTTACATGTAACATATACTGGTTGTTTTGTTTCACCATACTAGGAACCATCTGAAATGCGGGGAACTTTTCCTATTCCAGCATAAAGTTAAGTTTTTCATGTAAACCACTTATGAACTCACTGCATTCTAAATAGAATGAAGGAATTTATGCCATTACAAGAAAATTATTTTGTCATAACATAATTGATGTTTACATAGCTTCAGCAAAACATCTTAATGTATACTAATTGGAGTCTCTCCTAGCAACCCCTACATTAATCTAAAAGGTAAACAAGCTAGAAGTTCCCAAATTAATAGAAAAGCTAGAAATTCTCACACTAATGTAATTAAAAAGGATAAAATCATATACGTTCGTCTATCAAATCAATTAATGAGATCTTTTCCACCTCATAATATATTCATCTATGAAAATAGGAAATCATAAATATATGGTTGTATTCGGTTTAGACTCTTAATTATAGTTTTTTCATGATTGAATCATTTCAAAATTTGAAATTAATAAATGTAGAGTTGTACTCGTTCTGAAGTCTCAGTTATTTTAGACAAAAGGCAGTCACCTGCCCAGTTTTTCATTGCAAGCATAAGAGTTCGTACAAAGCAAAATAAAAGGAAAGTAAAAACAAGTTGCTGGGGTTTCCAGCTTTCAGGATCAGTACAGAGAGCCTTCCAAGACTTCACAGCAGAAGTGCCTAATTTTGAAATATAAGGACTATGCTGCTGGCACAGCAGAACAAGCCAGAGAGGGAAAAATCAAGATTCAGCGTTTGGAGAGCTGCCAAGCCCTCCTGTCTCGCTAATGCTGGCAAGCAGAGATCCCCTTAATGTATCCAGGTCTCCCCTCAGTTTCGCAGGTGCTAAGCGCCTCCACTGTATTAAGAAGGAGACAACTTTGTGAGGCAGGTTAATCACATCAGCTAGCAGCTTATTATTAAACACCCAATCATTTCTAGCAATCCATATGGCCTAGAAGTAGGCATCAAAAATTGTGAGCCAAACAGAGTTCTTCCCACTCTTCTTTTGCATAATCTCTAGGAGATCAGCTCTACACACATGCACTTTGTCCCAATTAAAAGCATCTCTCAGGCAACACCACATAAACTGTGCAGGGGCACACATGAACAGCAAGTGGTCAATCTCTTCTTCTCTACCACACAATTTGCAGTTAGCAACCCCCCCCCCCCCCCTACTTCATTTTCTTTAGTTGAGCAGCTGTTTGGGTCCTTCCTTTCAAAGCTAACCAAAAGAAGATTTTTATTTTCAGAGGGATTGAAGCCTTCCAAATATCCTGTGGGATCTAGTATCTTTGACACCTCCGAAGATCATCTCCCTATACAGAGTTTTGGTAGTAAATTCTCCTGTTTTTGTCAATTTCCATATCATTGTGTCTTTGTTAGAAGTTAGCTGTATGTCTCTTAGTTTCTCATGCAAATCATTCCACTCCCCTACTTCTCTGTTTCCAATTGTTCTTCTTATACCAATCTCCCATTCCCCCCAGTGTTCATTTGTTTCACAGTACTGTTAGGGTTATAACAAATACTAAACAACATGGGATACTGGGTTTTTAAAGGAATTTCACCTAACCACACATCACTCTAGAATCTAATTGACTTCCCATTTCCCAGCTTATAACAACTACCAAGGAACATCCATTTCTTCACTTCATGCAAACCCTTCCAAAATTGTGAACCCCCCCTCAGCAGAAGATTGAAAGAAACCTCCCCCATTTCTCATATACTTCATCCTCAACATCCTATAACAGGGGTCATTAGCTCCTGATTCCAGCTTAAAAATACACTTACAAAGCAGAGCCCTATTCATTATCTTTGTGTTAATGAAACCAAGTCCTCCAAATTCCTTAGGTCTGCTTAGAGCTTCCCATTTCAACATGTGGTATTTCCTCTTCTTTTCCAGGCCCTCCCAAAAGAACCTGGCTCTGAAGTCTCAGTTATAGTTTTGAATGATCTAATAATATTCTGAAATTCTGAATCAATCAAAAGAAAGTTATACTTGACCTGTAGTTTCAATTACAATTTTTTTATGATTGGTTTAATTCTTCTAAAATTTGTATTAATAAAAGACCAAATCATACTCAGTTCTTTATTTAATAAATCCAAATTTAAGAATTAACAAATCATAATAGTTAATTAATGAATATTAGGTCTTGGTTGGCCTACAACCTCAATAAGTTTTTTCCCTATATTTTAATGATTCTAAATTAATAAATATTGAGTTGTCCTTAGTGTGAAACTTCAATTATAATATAATTGTAATTTAATAATTTGGAAATCTAAATTAGTAAATTCCAAGAAGATATTGATTGTTTAAAATATGTAGTGCCTGGGAATGTACAAATTAATGGCTTGCAAACATAATTAAAAGCATATTCCTAGAATTCCTTTAATTTATTCAATAACTAAAATACCCAATGGATGGTCCATCTATAGCAATTAATATTCTTAATTCATGTGAAGAATTAAAGAAATTAGCTGATCGATTGATCGAACTATTGGTAACCGCTATTGTCAGTACGACAAAAAGATGATAATGGCAAGCTAGGGCAAGGCGAGATTAGGGGAGCGAAATTTGAACGCCTACGTGGGAGAAAATATCTCATAATTGAGAGTGATCGGAAGCGGATTGGCTTAAAGTAAATGTTGATGGCTCTTATTGCGCATTCTCTGTTGAGGCGGACATTGCCATTGCCATGAGAGACTCAGCATGGCAAGTTCTTATATCTTCTTCGTGAGTAATCTGGGATGGTGTGGCAGGAGAGAAAGTTGAAGCTATGGCATGCCGAGAAAGGCTAGCTCTCGCCGCAGAGTGGGTTCGCAAACCCATTACCTTGAGTCATATTGTGTGGCAATGACATGTTTCCTTACATCAAATATAGTTGATTGGTCATCAATGAAGCCAAACGTATAATATAATGTGGTTGTTTCCGAAGGTGAAGGTTAGGCATATATATATTAGAAGAGAGTGTAAAAGCATAGCGCATGAGTTAGCACAGTTTGCCATGGATTAAGCATAGTGCACGATGTTCCCTACTTATATCCATTTTTATATAATGGAAGTTTTATTGAATTCAGTACATTACATTGAGGTGATAAAGTTGTCTTAAAAAATACTTATATCCATGATCTTATAATCCTCAAGGATGATTAATTAATATAACACCCTTTTTTCTTGTAAAAAAAAGTAATGCATGAGATCCTACTACAGAGTAGAGACATGTAAACAATCAGGAAAAAGTAGGGGACTGAAAACAGACCTCCCACACACACACGAAAGAGTACACGAGGGATGTGACTGCTGGCTCACATCCAGTCATTGGCTTAGCTAGCTGCCAAATGGGCCCCAACAACGTACACACAACCCTCTCCCCTCTCCCTAGCTCATGCGCTCCAACCTTGCACCACAACCACACTGCATGCGCTCCGTCCAGCCGCAGCTAACAAACTGATGAGCCGTGTAGCAATCAGCAACTGGCAAACGGGCCCCACGCAGCCACGCCTCCTATATCCACGCTGCCCAGCGGCGCCCACCTCGATTCCCCCTTCTCCTCCACACCACCGCGCCTCACTAGCCTCGTGCCCTCGTAGCTGCCCTCGCGCGCCACCACCATGCCGTCCGCCATGAACATGATCACCGCCGCCTTCCGCCGATACCTCGGCTGCTTCTCCGCCGGATCAACCCACCGCCGCCGCCGCGGCGCCGCTGAACCCGTCCTCGCCGGCTCACTTACACTTCCCGCCGCCGCCGGCGGTGACAACGCGGCCAGGCGCCTTGATGTCGTCGTCCCCGCCCCCAGCCGCCCTGATGGTGTCACTGTGAGCGGCGAAGATTTCATCGGTAGCCTTCCTGGCCATGTCCGCTCCGCCATCGTGTCGCGCCTCCCGGTCGCGGACGCCGCCGCTCGCACCGGCGTGCTGTCGTCGTCGCAGTGGAACGGGCTCTGGTCGTCGACGCCGCTCGTGTTCCAGGACTCCGACCTCATCCTCGCCGCGAACTTCACCAGCGTGGCCCCCGTCGCCGCCACCGTGTCCCGCGTCATCGAGAACCACCCGGGCCCCTTCCACACCGTCACCCTGACCAGCTACTTCCCGGAGTCCGAGCGGGACACCTTCGCCGGCTGGATCCGCGCCGTCGCCGCCAAGGGCGTCCGCGACCTCACCCTGCACAACATCCCCTGGTCGGGCCTCCACGTGCTCCCCGCCGACCTCCTCCAGTGCTGCGCCGCCCTGGAGCGCCTCCGCGTCTGCGTCTGGCGGTTCCCGGCCACGGCCGGCGTCCTCCACCCCGGCGGCGGCGACGGCGACGGCGCCGCGCCGCCGTCGTTCCCGCGCCTGAGGGAGCTCGTCCTCAACAGGAGCGCCATCGAGGAGGCCGACCTGGAGAACGTGGTGGCGTGCAGCCCGGCGCTGCGGACGCTGGTGCTCGCCTTCAGCCGTGGCGCGCCGGGGCGCGTCCGCCTCGCCAGCGGCAGCCTCCGGTGCGTCGTGCTGTGCCAGTCGCTGGTGGACGAGCTCGCCGTCGTCGCCGCGCCGCTGCTGGAGCGGATCGTGCTGCGGTGGTGCGCGTCGGGCACCCACCACGGTCACCTCATGAGGATCAGGATCAGCCGGGCCTCGTCGATCAAGGCGATTGGTTACCTCAAACCAACCTGTCATGGCCTGCATATTGATGCCACTGTTATAAAGGTAATCTAGCTAGCTACTTCCATTTATTGATTATTAGTTATATTTTGAGTTTTTATCTGTACAGATTTGTGGATTAGTATACTTGGGGGCTTTTTAGATGGAGTGTTTGTACTTCTGAGGCACTATAGGAGTAGCAAAGTTCACATTATTTTTTGAAACGAGTAGCATCAAAGATAGTCATGTTTCATATTGATAAAGCATGGACAAAATTTGCATTAATTTGTATCGGAACCTCAATAGAGCATGGTTGTACCTAGCCTGTCAGATAATTTTGGGGGAAACTTTTTCCCCATTTTAAGTGATAACTTCATATTCTCTCATACTACCTAATAGATAATTGCATCAGAAACATAAGATACTAGTCGATCAGGAATGAGAAGCAATAGGAAGTTGTTGCTTTGTTGGTTATATTTATTTAAATTTTCACCAAAATTTCTTTGTTGCATTCAAAATTATATTACAGAGGGGATTCCAAATTAACATATGTCATTGCCTTGTTTTTTTTTTTTCTCTTTGCTCTCTCCGATGTTTACATCTATTTACTGTAGCCTGGGATAACGGCTAGCCCCGATGAAGTGGCTGTTCCAAGCGTCAAGATATTGGGTTTACAAGTTCGATTTGGAGTTGCTGCGGAAGCAACGATGGTGTCCTGCATGCTCAGATGTTTTCCTAACGTTGAAACGCTGCATATCATGGTAAGGCATAAAATTCAATTTGTCTTGCTTGAATTTGCCTCAATCAGATCGAACAAAAATTCAGCGCTCTTGATATATTATAATCTGAACACTGGTTAATTTGGCAGCCTATCGAAGATCCTCAGTCTACCCAGCTTGATGACTTTGAGTTCTGGGAGGAGATCAATTCAGTTGAATGTGTCAGATCCAGCATCAAGAAGGTAGTGTTCCATGGGTTCTCCTGGAAGAATTCTGAGATAGCGTTCATCAATTCCATCGCCGAAGGAGGACTGGTGCTCGAGAAGATCTGTATCTTCCAGAGTCGACATGGTGCTGCCCCAGATGATGATGAACTGAATGCTAAGCTGAGCATGGTAGCTTCTCTGAACATCGGCCTTGGCCGTACAGAGATCATATTTTCAGGTGAAGATCCAACCTGGTGCTATAGGGCGGCGGCTGATCTTTCTCGTGCTGATCCTTTTGATTGCTGCCGTTGAAGATCGATGTCTCTGTGCTTTGATCATCTTCGTACTATATATACATTTTGTGCTTCAGAATGTCACACAGTCTGCAAAGGTTGCTCAAGGTAGTTATATAGCGAATAAATATGTGACATCTGGAAATTTTATCATGTGTGTGTACCAGTTAAATTCTATCCTGTGGTATTAATAAATGGTACTGGCGAGGCAGTGTGCAACGCTTTGTACTGCTGGATTGTGTTTTAATTTCCTTGAGCTTCTTGTTTCTGTTGTACTGAATGACAATGATTCAATCTCATGGATTTCCAAACTAGCATTATATAGTACTGTTTATAACTTTATATAGATTCTTTCTCTTCAGTTGAACCATTAATCCTTCAAAGATAAGGATTTAGTTAGATAATAAACAGATGAATATCTTAAATCAAAACTGTCATCCCCTCGATCGTCGATTTTTAAATGGCAGAACTCCAGCCTTTATGTTCAAAAGTGTGTGTCTGTGTGTGTGTGCGATTATGTTTTATCTTCTTGGTAGACTGCATTACATACATATACTACATACATGGAATGCTTACCTATTATCATGTGATAATGTTCTTGACAGATTCTTCAGTCCGACGGTAATGTACGATGTTTCTAAAATCACCTAGTCAAAATTAAAATAAAGCATATATACTAATAGTCTAAAATCACTTCCTTGAACTCGTTTCAGGGATAATTAATCCATCAAGATACAACTTGTTGAAATATAAAAACCAAGATATTTTTTTTCAGATCCTCAAATCAAACTAAGCTTCATAAAGTTCTTCAAATCATGCCAATATATACCAATCTGATTCAGAATTGGTATAGAGCTGATTCAGATAAAATCATGCCAATACCAGTCAGGCCTTGTTGTAAGAATCTGAATTTCAGGCCTGTGCCCCTTCATCTGCAATATCGTTTGCATACGGTATGCGTACATTGGTTATCTCACCTTGCAGCAATGCATTCTTCTCATATGCAGCGATGTTATGTCAGACTAAAAAAAATGACTGAATTGAAAACAACCCGCTTTTATTTGGAACATCGTATACGAAATTTTCCAGATTTTGTGTGCACCATACTATATAGGGTTAATTGGATCCATGCCATTATAAAATTACCGGTTTTGAAAAATACCACTACTATTTGTATAATTGGAACTATGCCACTACAACATTGCGAAAATTGAATCCATGCCATGCTATACACCTGATACACGTTTTGAATTTTTTTTCTATACTGTATTTTCACGCGGACCAAAATACCCCTCAAATTAATCCAACCACAATAGCCAAATCGATCCCCTTATCCCGTCGATGCGGAGCTCCTAGAAGCAGCAGCGGCGCGGCCGGCGAGCGTGAGGTTGGGTACGGCAGCAACGTCCTGCGCCCAAAGGCGGTACTGGCGGCGGGCGTGAGGTCGGGTCTGGCGGCCGCGACCTGCAGCCCAGCGCCGGCGACTAGCTCAACGCGAGCTTGCTCTTGACACGAAAAGATACAGTGGCGGCGGTGACGCGCGGTCCACGGCGGCGATGAGCTGCAAGCGGCCAGTGCTAGCGATGGAGGAGATGGACGACAGCTCGCCGGCTCGGGCGGTTGTGGACGGTGACCCCTCTATGCCGGCGAGTGATGCCGAGGGCAGCGACTGGCCTGCCGGTGTTCGTGGACGGCGACCTGGCTGCTCCACCGCTCTTTTCTTCTTTTTTCCCAATTATTTTCCTCTTCTTTTTTTTCCTGTGCAACTTTTGTACACGAGATGCATTCAACCATTTTGTACTGTGAATATGAAGCGGCAGCAATTTGTTGCAACGGCGATTTCAAATATTTGATTTAAAACTTTGTTAGATCTGAAGCATTAAATCGTGGAGTTGACATGAGGAAGGATAGTGTTGTTGTTCAGAGCTTGAGACTACACACGGTTATTTTAGACCATACGAAAATACGGTAGTCACAAAACAATTTAAAATGTGTTTCAGACGTATAACGTGGCATAGATCTGATTTTGGATGTTTCATAGTGGCATGGTTCCAATTATACGAATATTAGTGGTATTTTTTAAAACTAGTAAATTTATAAGGGCACAGCTATTGTGCATAAGATAAGAATAAACCGCAAGACAATAATGCAACCAATTGGAGTAGTAGTTAATGACCATAGCAAATAGTTTGTCACATATAAGACTAACTAAATTAAGCCCCAAGTTTATTTGTGAACTAGATTCTGTATGACCAATATAAACCCCTAGTTGTTCATAAAAAATATTTAATTTTCATGTGACTATATTGTTGCACAAACACTTATGTTGGAACCAAAACAGTACCTACTCCCTCCGTCCCATAAAAACAAATTTAGTATAGGATGTGACATATCCTAGTACTATATATGAATTTGGATAGAGCAATCCTATCCAGTTTTAGTATATGTCACAACTGTACTAGGTTTGTTTCTTATGAGACGGAGGGAGTAACTAGCTATCATAGAATTTCCAACTAAATGATCTTTTCTAATATAAGCTTAGAGGTCTGATCAGAGTAAGTTGTACCACACATGAGATCCATGATGCAAGCAGGATGACCGGTTGACTAATATATTGTCTATTTCACAAGAAAAAACTTATAACCTACATCTTTCTGTATATCATCCATCCCCCCACCCCACCCCACCCCACCCACACATAACATACCCCCTGCATACGCACACCAACCCCTCGTCTCGCTCTCTCAGTCTCGGGTAATGGTTATTATGCAGGATATGTGTGGTTGTTAAACATCTAGATTAAATGTGGTTGCTAAAAATTATTACAACCACAAAAATATGGTCATTATATGCCATTGAAGGTTCCATCGTTAAAAGTATTAACGACTTCGAATAAATTCATGTCACGAATTCTTTAACGAATCCCACTTTAATGGCCCCTATCTATTCTCAGCGATGGGCCCAACTCAATTCATGGGTATTAATCTGAATATCCAAGATTTTTTTAATTAAAAAAAGGGTATATACATATGTAATGTGTATGTCTATATTTTACTATAAAAGATAATAGTGGTGGTGGTGGTTCTGCCACCAGCCCACCACCACTACTTAGAATGTTATAGTAATTAGTCCATGGTATTTTATAATATTATGTAATAGCCTAATATTTATTTAAATCAAGTGAGTAACATAATATTAAAATAAGCATAGGCATTTGACTAGTGTATGAAAAAAACAAGAAAGAGATTGTATTCAACCGAAGAGGTTGTATTCAACACTTAATGCATATGCTATATATTATACCGTTAGTACATGACAGATATTAGACTTTTGGCTATAAACTCTTTTTTGACCCATTCACATTTTAAATACACAACTTCAAAATCCAGAGCCCGCCATGTCAATTCTCATTGATCTCTAACGATCTCCGGTGGTGTCTTCTAATAGCTTATAATGAATCATGACTAAATTTGGATCACTAAGACAAATTATTTTGTGGTTTTAAACTATACATGTCTACTTACACCCACATCTACATTAGTGAAAAGAGGATCCCAAGACCCCACCAGGATGAGCCACATCATCAAACAAATATGAACCGTTGGATGCATGATTTGGATGAAGATAATCGTTGGATCAAAAGAAAGAAAAATCAGTTAAAAAAGCAAACCGTATCATGAGGAGTTCTAAACCCTTCAAACACCTCCCAAAATATGTGTCTAACAAAGATATGAGATTGAAAAAAAAAAGAGAATGCCTTAAAAATTGATTGTATAAAAAGAATATCACCAATGAGTATTCAATAGTAGTTGTATTGTATCAATAATAACAAGTATCATTGTATATATCGTATTGTATCAATAATAACAAGTATCATTGTATACATAAATAGCTACTTAACCTAATACTATCAATTACTCCACTATATCTTAAAATTAAAAAAAAACATGTGGCATGGAGGACATAGTAAATTTTGTAAAGTTGATTTAAATCATATGATTCTAAGATTTGCGATAAAAAAGCGTATAGATACTTCTAAACTATTTACATGTGGCATTGCAACGCGTAACAGATGTAGCTATTTACATTATCAGTACAAATGATGCATTTAGATACTGAATGAAGTAATGGTCGCGGTAATATATGATAAATTATTTGTTGTTACGATATTTTTTTATCACAAATCAAGATATATATAAATCCTTTAATGTTGTAACTACACTTCTTAAAAAATATGTTCAAAAACGTATCTATTGTTAATTGTTACTAAACATTTACGTCCATTAACACAAGCAACATATAAACACATTGATAGATAGAGATGACAGTCGTGTGAACGGGCAACTTAATAGGCTAGGTTTTAACCTGAAAAGCATTGAAGCGTCTTCAAATTAATTAATGGCCACATTCTTAATAAGAAAATAATAATATAGATGAACAATAATGTACATAACTTATATATGACCATTTTTTTATTCATCCAAGTAAAATAGTTTAATTGATTCTTGCATCCCGTTGAAAAGGTAAATTCTAATAGACATCATGCATGGAATATTCAGTCAGCACCAGCATTTGGGTGGCTAGATAGCCTAATTGAATAGACATATATATATTTAATTTACAACTAGGAATATACTGATTTAATTAAATAGTACTCTGACCTGAAGGTGCACGTACCATTGCATGTATACTTATATACTACTCAGTGAAAACAACCGAATATAATGGGATATATATCATGCATATATAGATGTATCATATTCAGCTAATTTTGAGCCCTAGAAAAACATTTTGCCGTTTATGGCCCCAAGAATTTGTGTTATATATGAACTGAATGGCTACAGTTTTTTTTGCTGGTATGTCAAAAACACAAATATTTCACTTTTCTGGGATGCATTTCTGAATATCACTAGTAATTACCGAGCTGTTAACCAATTTTATGACAAAGGTATACTGTAGCAGAGAAGAGTTATCTGAAAGTAGATGGCTCATTTCATTTGCTTTTCTTGTGGTGTCTTCAAGTTGTCACCTAATGATACTGATTTCAATATATAGTAGATACCACCTCATACATTATATTATTAGAGTAATTAATAGGAAGCAATGAGGACAAAAAAAAATTTCTAGATTGTATTTAAAGACAAGACAAATAATATAAGAGCTATCTTGCAAAAAAAAAAAAGACCACATAAACTTATTAAGGCAATGAAGAGGGGGGGGGGGGGCAGAAGGAATGTTATAGTGATGTTTATGGTTTCTACTGCACTTAGCAGTAAGCACACGCTATTTTTCCAACAATCTAACTATATAGGTTGATGGGCACACAAGAGCGCGTCCATTGTACTCCCCCCGTCCTAAAATATAAGCAGTTTTGGTTGGATAGGACACATCCTAGTACTATGAATCTGACAGACTGCCTGTCTAAATTCCTAGTACTAGGATGCGTCCCATCTAACCAAAACTTTTTATATTTTGTTACGGAGAGAGTATATTATATATGCCAAACTTGGGTAGCAAATGATAATGAAAGGTCTAAAGGTAATAATAGTGAGAAAATACATTATATTAAGTCGGCATATGAAATTGGATTTTTTTTTCTAATAAAAAGTTTCAAATTAACATGCATACAATGGGCTAATCAGATCGAGTTTTGTATGGAATTGTTTCTTCAATCATGTAGCAGCAACGAGCAAATAAAAATTGAATCAAGAAAGCGAGTAACTGATTTTTTTTTCAAGCCAACTGTAAGAATCTTCTTGTGTGAAGAAAACAGAAATTACTTATTTTAAAATAGAAATATGGATTACACAATTAATGCACCCCACAAACATAAGTCCTAGTCTAATGTATATTGTTCGCCAGCCAAACAAAGTTACCCTCATATTTATCAAGTGACTACTACTGCAGGGAAAAAAAATGATAACATTAATTCTCAAAACGATAATTTATTTGTAAATCTCCAAATATTATTTTACATTCTACTCCTATAATGATGTGCCACATCGTTCAGTATGCATACTGCATGATAACCTTCAAATATTACTAAGTTATTGCACTATTTAATTTGATTATACATATGCATGTCTTGACTGCTCAATCAGCAGTGCCTAGGTGGAATCAGGATTACCAATAAAAAGCGGCTACTTTATATATGAGACAGCCAAATTAAATTTGGTTCCAAACTAGCCAAATTAAATCACCCGCACATATATATGAGACGGCCGGAAGCACAACTTACATAGACATTAAGTCAGGTAGTTTCGCCTTGAAATCAGTACGGTTTGCCATATTTTGGAATGATTTAAAAAAATGAACAAAATTTGACTGAATTAAAAAAAATGAAAAAATCGGGTAAAATAGTGTCATGCCAGGGGGCATTAATTCCCGAAATTTCAGATCGGAATTGCAAACACTGCTTGAAATGGAACATGATAAAATGCTCTTAAAATATTACAATGCTGATTAATTATTTTTTTAAGATGAGTATAGCACAGTATAAATGTCTTTTGATCTGGTTCTTGGGATTACAATTAATCGGATCTTTGGATTATATTTCTGATGAAGAACACTTATGTACAGAATGCCATACCTAAGCACAGCTTGTACAAGGATCAAAACTTGCAATCGTTGTAAATTTTATGATAGGATGACAATCGCACTGCAAACACACTTTACCTGTACTTGTATCAGCTGAATATATCTGAAATTGAAGTGAACATCCACTTACAGAAAACTGATTGGCACTTTGTAGTGCCTGAGACTCAGAGCAGCTTGCTCTGAAAGATTCTGAAAACAAAAAGGACATGAATTCATATTATTCATCATATGGAAAACCATATGTTTGTTAAGAAATTTCACAGAGCATCTGATGGTCAATCTACTAATACTTGAATTCCAGACAGAAAATTTGCATCGATAATGTTGAAATAAATTTGCAGAGCAAAATAAAGGGCTCATAACATGCCTCAGAGCAAAAAATAGGAATATTGTTCTAAAGTACCTGAGTACAAATCGTATTCATATCAGGCCATATGTATATATGAAGCTAATTAAATAACAAAGGAGCATAACAAGCATATGAATAGAACTGTAATCACCTTGCAGATTAGAAAAGAGAAAGAAGTGATGGTGCAGTAAAAGTAGATCAACATTAGCACAGAAGAATCAGAAAATTAACCTGAAAAAATACACAGGGGAAATTAAACATATAAGAGATTACTGGCTATAATCTGAGGATGCATTATTAATTCACAAATCAAATACCTGCAGGTATTTTATGTCCACGTTGATCTCCATCGTCAGATTAAGATCGATATCGGATAAAGGGACATATATATAACTAGAAGAAGAAAATTGAAGAGGGAATAATTGGTACTAGTACACTACTCAGGGAAAATTGAAGTGTAGTAGCTAGTGTGTCAGTGTGTGGAAGCTAAGGCCGGTGGTTACCACGGCCTGTCCCTGGTGTGGCCTGGTCACGTACGATGCCTCAAATGCGTGGGATGGCTTCCAGATCGCTGCCGGATTCAGGGGTAAGATTGAGAGCTTACAGAGATTCCGCCAGATGGGTAGCCGCCGGGTGAGCTAGCCGAACCGAACCGCCGCCGCCGGCCGGCTCTCACGCTGCTGTGTGCGGGCGAGGCGGCGAGCCAAGACGTGCGGGGAAGGTGTGGTCGGGATCGGCCGCCGTTGCCTCGCGATCGATCGAGACATGGCGTTGGGGAAGGGACAGGGGCGCGGACGGGGTATGGGGCCGGCTGGGCTGGTTTATCTGATTTGGGGCCTGATTTGTGTGGGCGAGTTTAGTTCCCGACAACTTATACCCCGTTTTTCACACAAATAATACAAACGCAATATTTTTTTTTTATATTCAGCTTCCCAACTTTATTTCACGGTTGGCTCAGTGATGTCACGAGCTACCAGGCGAGTTACAAAATGTACTTGATTATACCAAAATGTACTTGATTATTTCTTCTGCCAGTTTTCGTATTGGCAGGGGGTTTCAGTTCTTTTCAAGATAGTGGAAGCTTTATCGATCTTAGACGTAAGGGCTTGTTCGGTTTGGAGGTTATTGAATGAGGATTGAGACGGAATAACTCTACACCGCAATAGTGTGAAATAAATCCCCTCCAATCCCTCCCTCATGGGGATTAACCGAACAAAACTTTAATGAACAACTATTATGAGAAACACCTCCGGCCTCTACACCAGAAGAGTGCACACATCCAACAGGAATCCACGATAGCAGAAAAAAACTTCAAGAGCCCTCTAACCATAGCCTAAAACGCCACCTATATGCCGGGTAGAAAACTCCATGGTCACTAGCTTCAATTATTGACAAGCCCCAGTGATAGTACTCCATAAATTGATCTTTTAGAAGATAGCCCATGAACGGAGCCAATCTAACTTAGGCCCTGTTTGATTCAGCTTAGGATTATTATAATCTAGCTTATTAGGAGTAAGCTGAAACAAACAAGTAGATTATTATAGCAGATTATTATAATCTATAAGCCAGATTATTATAATCTAATAAGCTGCTCTAGAGGAGCTTTTTTCAGATTATTGAGTGGCTAAAGGCCCACTACCCCTACATACTTGAGAAAAATTACCCACCTATGCCATCAACCAAACAGATAGCTGAGGGCATTATAGACTTTATCCTTTCAAACCCAATAATCCATGCCTCCAATAATCCAAACAAACAAACAACTCACAGCTTATTCTATGTCAGCTTATTATAATCCAGCTTATAGTAATCTGGCTTAATAATCTAGATTATAATAATCATAAGCTGAAACAAACAGGGCCTTATACTCATTCGTTTCACATTATAAGATGTTTTGGTCTCTGAATTTCTCATTAGATTCATTAATATCCGAGTAAACTGCATATTGGGATATATTTAGTTAGCATTTTTTTACTTTGGTCTAGGCCATACACTGTGTCGTAGGCTCTCCGGACCTTCCATTATATTATATTTGAGAGATAAAGTGAATAATTCAAGTCATCAAACAAGCATAATGAAACATCCGACGCCTCGAGAGAGGAATATTGGAGACATTGCTGGGCCATTAGCCTGCCAGTCAACTTCAGCCTGAGATGTGCCCGTCAAACCACTCGAAGGCGGTGACCAGATGTGTTACACATTCAGGAGACTTGACAAAAATGGCTAAAGATCTACAACCTCTCAAATATTCCTAACTCATACTCATGTGAATCTAGTTCCCAGGATGTGCCCTAGATCCACACTTTCATCTTAAGCATGATTATACATAGCAAACACAACTAAGATGAAAGAAACTTAAGACTTACAACATCTTAATAATTACATAGGCCGACCGGCCAAATAGACTTATTAGAGAACAGCAGAAGCTTGACTACCCAATCACAAGCACACCGACTAGGGGTTTACCCCATTAAGTTCTCATCCTAGAAGAAGCAATCGGAACCCGCATCACTCAAAGACTAAGTCTAAACCTGCAAACAAAAGGTTATATCAACAGCAAGAGTCAGTACATTAAACAAGTTAATGTATTGGCAAGCACAAGTCAATCCTACCATACTACATGTAAGGCATATATTCAAAGAAAGGCAATATGTAGTTCAATTTCAGCATAAAGCAAGTTTTGTTTCGCAATTCTTTTGTAAAGGAGTTGATGCTTCAATTAACAAAACAAAATTTTAAGTTTCAATATTAAGTTCATCATAATTCCATCGTAATCAATCTCTTGTTGTCATCCTTTGACAACAAATCATAATATATCACCTCACACACACAACTCAACACATTTATCAATTTCAAACCAATGTCACATGATCACATTTTAAAACATAAAGTCTATACTCATGACACATCACCAAAGCGCTCATGACCGTGAGCACGGCTAATCGATTAGTTTAAAGAACTCTGCAGAGTTTGTATAGCTTTACCCACATGATATGAACTCTCTAGTTTGTTTTGAGTTTGTAAGACTCCACCACACTCTTCATGTTGAATGTGATCTAGAGGTCATAACGAAGCCTTTACACAACTTAGAACCTAGCCTTGCACCAGCACGATACGTGTTCCTCCATCCTAGGCATACTTGGAATATGCCTAGAACCGTTAAGTGGCGGGCCCACGCCTTAAACTTAACGCCGTGGTGGCGGACACAACGGGAACCCACCCACGTGGCACAATACCGTTGTATTGGACAGACTTAGTCACCTAAACTATCATGTCGGGGCAAATAGGAAGTTCATCTGAATCATCGACTAATTCCTCAGAATTATCGACTAACTCATACACACCGGCCTACCAGAATGCAAGGCTAGTCCTAAATAGATTAATCAGCTTAGGCCATCCCATACTAGCACATGTGGATATATGAATAACTTTAAATGGGTGACACAAGTTCGGTCCTTATGGACTTAGGCAAACACTCCCCCTATCGGTATGCAACTAGCACCATATGCACACCACTTGCCGCCCAAGTATAAAATCACATTTTACACATTTTAGTTCGCAAATACCCATCATATTAATTTTATTCCAGCAAGGGTTCATGTATCAAAATTCACATTTTAATTACAGATGGAATGAGCATTTGCATATTTCTAAGCATGGCTAAGCAAGTAGTTGCACATAGAGCATATATAAACCCATTTGAGCACAAAGAGTGTACTCTAACCATTTCTAAGGGTTCAATCAGCAAGAGGATCAATTATTCAAGGTGGGGTATGGAGCAAATAAGTCATAACTACCTTAACCCAATTTTAAATACCGATATAGTCTAAGTTCACATGCAACTTTGCAAACAAATATTTTCATTCCTCAAATCATGGGATTCAATGTGTTCAAAGGATGGGAGGAGAAAACTTGCCTTGATCAGAGAAATGTTAGCACCTAATCCACTCCTTCACCGATTATGCAATTATCTAGATAAAGGACACGATATGCAATTAAACACCAAAAGAGCTGAAAATCCAAAATGCTCTAAAATGCATGATTTATGCATAGTGATTAGGTACTGGTCTAAAATAAATTTAGGTGAAAGAATTCCTATTTTATCTTATTCCATTTGGATTTGGGAGTTATGAATTTTAGAAGTTTTATCGATTTATAGTAATATAGTCTTAGGTAGTGTTATGAAATACTTTTGTAAAGTGATTTTTATTATATTAGACTTCACAGAGGTGTAGAGGTGTGTTTTCTAAGACTAATACATTTGGTTTCACAATTTTTGGAGTTATAATGATTTTCTTATAGATTTTACAAGTTACAACGTGTTTTAGGCATATAGTGTTTTATATGTGCATGACTCTCAAGTTGTAGGTTCAGAACATGCTACTTCATGTTTAAGTTGAATAAAAGGAATAATTTAGTTAACTAAAACATTTTTAGTTCACATGTTTATGATCTTTACTACTATGGTTCATATTTTATAAACTAGAGATGCTCTAATCTAAACTAGCAATATATTATATTAACCTAGAAATTGTTATATGAGCTAAGTTCTTCTAAGTTTTAGTGGATGAGGATGGAACTATGGCTTCACTGGTCAATCAAGTTTTTATTTAGGTTTAATTAGACCTAAAGTGTATATATACTTATACATGTTTATGTATTACTTAAACAACACTATGTGTTTAAATTCTTATTTCACTAAGTTAAGGTTTTGATCTATGTTCTCTACAAAAGGTGCCAAATTTAATTTTACTATGTTGAAGATAACTATTTGCTGGTTCTATAGAAACTTTGTTCATTTCATTTGGACTAAAAATGAATTTTCTACAAGTTTTACAAATTAATGGCTGCTCTATGTTAGTAAATCCTTATATGAATATTTAGAGACTTTTACTACACAGTAAGTATATAATCTTATTTCATAACATGGAAATACATGTTTTGGTGATCCTACAGAACTTAAATTTACTCAAATTAAAGCTAAATTGGGTTCTACATGAATTTCTAAAGTTTAGCTTATCTAAACTAATCATTCTAGAGATAATAGTTTTAGAGGCATTTGATGCAAAGTAAGTAATTACTTTTATTTCACCTAATCAGAGAGTGCATGATGATGAATCTGTAGAATTTGATTTTGTTTCAAAATGAGTTGAGATGAATTTTCTATGTATTTTATAAGCTTGTACATGTTTTATGTATGACCTATCTTAGATAAATTTTAGAGACATTATTTGTGCAGTGAGTGTCAAGTTTTATATTTCTAAAATAGAGTTCATAACTTTAAGAATCTACAGCAACTGGAATCATCTCAAAATGAGTTTTATTTGATTTTATATGGATTTTACAAGTTTGGGTGTTTTCATGTTAAACATTTAATGTTTTAGTTATTTTTCCTTTGCATTTTCAGATTTTTATACACATGGGTCCACTGATCGGTGGCTGAACCAATATACCAAAAAAGGTCCCTGGCTTTATATGAACTGCATTTAGGTCCGTGGGTCCACATGTAAACGACTGAAGTTTTATAGTTTGAACCCTATGTTTCTGATCATTTACAGGACAAAGTCCTCATCTTCAACCTCCAGCAGCCCGATGGACTGGGAGCTTGGCCATGGCTTTGGCGAGCTCGTTGGCGACGATTGGTGGCTCGATTGGGAATGAGGTCAAAAGATAAAATGAAGAGAATGCTCTCACGATTCCATTCCTCTAGTTTTCTTGGCTAGGAGACATCGGAGTAGCGCCGATGGTGAGGGTGAGCGGAAGGTATACATGAGCTGTTACTGCATGTTACCTAGGGCTTTGATTTTGCTAGATGCATCCATGCATGTGTTTCCTAAGAGGTTCAGGAGGCTCACCAAGCTGTAGGAAGAAATCGCTGAAGCTTGGATAGCAGCGGCTTCGGTTGGAACGGTTCGACGGCGGCGCTCCTCCTCGGGTGAACGGCGACGGCTCGAACAGGACGACGAGCTGCTAAAGGAAGGCATGCAAGAGGGTTATGAGGTCAAGGAGATGGTGTATGCGCGAGGAATCGAACAATGGCTCACCGAGTCAGCGGTAATCGACGGCAGAGGCGATTCTAGATCGGCGCTGGTGAAGAAAAGATGTGTTCTCCGAGTCCTTCACATCTCCGGCTAGGGTTCTTGAGGCGTATTGAAGAGGAGGTTGAGACGATGACGATGGCGCAGCGGCTTGCTCCGAGGTGGACGAGAATGGCCGGACGACGACGATGGTTGAAGCGGCGGCGCTCCGGTGCGTGCTCCAGGGCGTCGTTGGCGTGGTCACGTTCCGGTGGCTGTGATGCACAAAACGGGAGGTGGTCAACAGAGAAGTGGTTTGGCATTGTGTGGAGAGATGGAAACGCGAAAGAGATAGTGGTGACCTTGACTCAAACGGAGATAGCGATGGTCGTCACCTCCATGGCCGGTGGTGAGGTCGCTGGTGACGGAGAGGCAGAGGACCTGCTCCCCTCGGCTTCTTCGGCTCTGAGTGATGAGTGAGGAATGGCGACTCAGACTGGAGGAGAAGAGAGCAAGAAAAGGAAAGCCCGAGGTCGTCGACACGTTGTGGCCACGCGTCGGCTCGCTCGATCTCTCCCTCTCTGTGTTCTTGGTCGGCTGAGGGTGAGGCACAGAGAAAGGGCGAGCTGGAGAGGCTGCCAAGTGGGCCAGGACGAAGTGCTCTAGGTGGAAGTGAGAGGTGTGGGGAAGATTCTGGGTGAACACGGTTTTAGACGAATTTTTAGATTATTTTCTCAACCCTAACTTTGTAGCTTCATAACTTAATGTGTGGACCAAATTAATTAGTGTTGATTTTACTGGAGGTAAATGATTACACCTAGATTCCATTTTCTTTGGTTGTACTCAAAAATAATGGGTAGACTGCTCACAGAAATTAAACAAAGATGGGCTATTAGAAAGGTAGATTGAATTTTTAGGAAGCCTAAACAGAGGAGGAAAATTCTAGAAAAATTATATTTAGGCATGATAAATAATCTAGTATTTGAATAAATTATTTTCCATGTTCACTTATGTACAGTTAAATGTACTTTTGGATGAAGTATGGCTTTAGCCAATTAAAATTTTATTTGATTTCTTTTAGTTTTCTACTTTGACTGATTAATTTGTGGTATTAAACTTAGTTATTAACTTGTACCAATATTATAGTGAATTGCTTATGCTAAACATAGTTTACATAATTTTTTCCATAAATTTTTCCATGATTTCATCTTGCATAGATTATTTTAAAGAATTAGAATAACATTTCTTTGTATATGTGTCCCTACTTCATAATTGCACCTAATATTATTATAGGGATTACATTAAACTTCTTTTGGGCTGAGAAAAAGATATTAGAATTTAATATTAAGTCCACATGTTATCACCCAAGATTAACTATAGTTTTGCTTAGTAATTTTTAACCCTTTTAGTTTATGCTCATGAGACCTATTATGAAAAGAGAGACCAAAATCCAAATGCACAATGTATGCTCCAATGCTTGATGACATTTCTAGTCTAATGTTGGGATGAAAAAGTTTTATTTTGTTCTCAAATTTTAATCATGCAATGGTTTAAGTTGGTCATCACCTAAGTTAAAACGGAAATTTTTGGCTCTCAAAATTGGAGAAGTTAATCTCTAACTATTTTGACAAGAAACTTTAAGTCCTGAAATTTCAGGTATGTCACAGACTGGTAGAGAAACCATCTTTGGTCGGTCGACCCAAATCCACAATAGTCCCGGTTGCATTAAAAACCGGGACTAAAAATCATTTTTAGTCCCGGTTGATAGGAGGAAGATGTTACCAACCGGGACTAAAAATTATCTTTAGTCCCGGTTGGTAACTTCAACCGGGACTAAAGTTCATTTTTAGTCTCGGTTGATTCCATGTCAGGCCGTGTCAGGGCCCTAGGATCTTTAGTCCCGGTTAGTAACACCAATCGGGACTAAAAACCTATTTTTAGTCCCGTTTGATGTTACTATCTGGGAATAAAAATCAAAACACATTATATAATCCCTAGTACCGATCCTCTTTTCCCGTCCACACAACAAACTTCTCCCTCTATCTCTTTTTTCCTCTCTAACTTCTTATCTCTTTCCTTATCTCTAACTCAAGCCTCTCCTTCCTTTTTTCCTTCACTCCACAACGAAGAAGCGTACGTGCACGAGGGCGGGCCGGCCAAGCGGCGGCGCGGGGACCGCTCAGAGGCGGCAGGCGCGGCGGCGCGGGGGGCGGCGCGGAAGCGGCCTGCGCGGCGGCGGGCGGCCGGTGCGGCGGCGCGGGGGGCCGCGCGGAGGCGGCCTGCACGGTGGCGTGGCGGCGCGGGGGGCCGCGCGGAGGTGGCCTGCGCGGTGGCCCGGCGGCGTGGGGGGCCGCTCGGCGGCGGTCGGCGCAGCGGCGCGGTGGGCCGCGCGGCAGCGGGTGGCGGCACCGGCGTGGCGCCAGCCAGCGCGGAGGGGAGGCGGCAGTGGCCGCCGGCTGGATTTTTTTTTTTTTTGAGATATGAATCTGTGATGTATTTTTGTGTGAGATGTGAATTTGTGATGTATTTTTTTGTGAGATGTGAATCTGTGATGAATTTTTTAGAACCCTGTGATGTAATTTTTTTAAGAGTTTGTGATGTATTTGGAGATGATCTATTTGAGGATTTAAAGATTTGGAGATGTTCTGTGATATGTGATGATTTGGATTTGGGAGGGGATGGTGTGAAATCAATATTCAATGTTAAAAACAATGAAAAAGAGAAAAAAAAAGAAATAATATCTTTAGTCCCGGTTGACTAAAGATGCTCCCATCTTTAGTCCCGGTTGGTAACACCAACCGGGAACCTGGACTAAAGATCGATCTTTAGTCCCGGATTCGTACTTCTGGTTGGAAAACCGGGACCATAGGGGGGTTACGAACCGGGATTAAAAAGCACTTCTCCGCCAGTGATAGCTCATGTTTTCACTTTGGGCTAGAGTTTCTTTCCTTCTCAGATCACCACCCGACTGGGCACTGCCTGCACATCCTACCATCGCCGGCACCGTGAACCCTCTGCTGCTGCTGCCGCCGGCTGCTGCAAGGTGTGAAGAGCAACAGCACCGCTGAAGGAAGATGAAGCAAGGAGCAAAGCTGCAGGAGGCAGCAATCGGTATAGTATAGGCATAGGCATATGGAGCTTGAAAGGTTTTTTAACATATCGAGGCCTCACCTGCTCACCATGGGCTTCTTCCTTCCTCATTGTGTTGCCATTGCATCCAGACTACGGGATGAGAACACACGGCCTAGATATAGCCGCGTTGGTGAGGTGCTAGGAGCGGACAAGATAGAGATCGAAAGATTGGGGAGGTCTAAACTGAAACAAAAGTTATTTTCCCTAGCCCAAAGTGAAAATGTTGGTTGCATCATAGTCCAAAGTAAAACTTTAGTAATAATACCTAGCCCAAGATGCGATTCACTCTTAATATCCATATAAATTTAGACACATTGTAACTGGACCCACTAGGAAAGAAAGGGTTTTTCTAGGCGACCCAAAATCTATTTTCGCGTGCGGAAGGCCGGCTCGTCTGCTTAAATGGTCTATGGAAATCCGATTTTTATGTACGAGTAGCGCACCCGCATGCGAAAATCCGATTTTTGTGTGCGGATTCTTATGTCGTTCACACATACAAATAAAAAACCGAAAAAATAAAAAAAAACTCAAAAAATCAAAACCCTAAGGATCCCGGCGATGGATCGGGACGTCACGGAGCCGGCGGCTCCGCTCCAGGCCGATTCCTCCTCCTCATCGTCAACGTCGGTGCCAGGTGGGGACGGGGATTGTCACGCCTAGAAATTCTCGAAACAGAATTTCTAAGCTGAATGTGCATTAAATCCCTGTCCAGGACCAGCCAGGGTACACAAACGACAATTGTTGACATACAGACCCACGTCTTACAAAAATATAAAAGATTACAAATGCAGCGGAAAAGGTTAAAGCGAGCTAAACCGGGAAGCTTGACTTCAGCAACGGGCGACTCCACTCCACAGGCAAACCTTGACGGCAGCGGCGAAACCAACCTCTCTGAGACGGCTCCAACTGAGAAGAACTTCAACTCTGGTGTGGGGGAAAAGAGAGCAAGACTGAGTACTACCCACTGTACTCAGCAAGTCATACCGGAAGAGGAGGTATGATACAGGATATAACCAAAGGAAGCTAGGGGTTCTTTTGCATAAAGCAGGCATTTCAAAGCAGTAGTTGAAAGCAGTAAAACAGCTGTAGTAATTAATCAATATTAACCAATCACTGTCCAACGCTACACCACGTTGCAACAGACCCAACCATCTACCTGAACTACACCAGTTCATTAAGCTAAACTAGGGGTGAGACTAATCACGGTGAATCTGGTTGATCGCCCATAACCGCGGGCACGGCTATTCGAATAGTTTTACTCTGGCCAGAGGTGTACAACTGTACCCACAAGACACGATTCCACACATGTCGCCATGCCCCGAAGTATCACCATGATACTGCAAATGGGGAAATCGTGACAAGACCCTCCACATAACCCTCCCCTAACCATTCACACCACGCTAAGGTTTCACCCCCACCCCTCAAAAGGTAGTGGGCGGTCCCCTCTTGCGCCGCGGTGAATCCGGCAGCTGGACAACCGAACACCTCGGCCGACCCAACTCCATCACGCCCACCCTCGCCACCGGTGCCTAGGAAAGGGTCGAGCTATACTTCAGATCAAGCAGTTACCCACTCCCGCTTGTGGAAAGCACGGTAAGTCTCCCAGGGTTTCCCGTGAACCGGTCCTTAACTGCCATGGGTGCGACCAGCAAAACCATGCACCCACAGCCCACCATTCAGTGTATTTTAATTAACTAACACCATTGCGGTGGCACCAATCTAAAGCTATGCCAATAGACAAAGTCTATGTAATAATGTAGTCCCCATTTGTGTACTAGTTGAACTAAGCATGGCTAAGCATTTCCTAAACCAACATCTAATCATTTTGATACCCAAGTTATCAATGGCATAGGGTAACCAATATGTGGCTGAGGAATAGGACCCATCCCACATTACATTGTAAAAGAATGCAACATTTAATAGAAATGCGGGATATTGGTAAATTGGGTACAATATGATCAAACGTATTGCATGACTTGCCTTGCTCTCGAACTGATGAGACCTCAGCAACGTCTTCGAGAAACTGCGGATCGACGAAACGGCCGAAACCTACGCGACAAACAAAGCACACAAGCAAAACATGCTATAAGACTACTGAAACAGGAAACAAAACCATTTTTAATGGATTCTTTGCATTTTTCTTGATTTACTGAGACTTGAATGGACTTAAACGGAGCTCGGATGAATTACTTATGAATTTTAGAAGATAAACTGTGTTTTTACTAATAAAGAAAAAGTCCTTAATTAATTATTGCGCAATAATACCCAGGGCTGACGTCATCCAAGGGGGGGGCGGCGCCGACAGGTGGGGCCCATGAGTCAGCGGCTCCAAAGGGAGGGAGGTGGCGCCTGGCAGGTGGGCCCCACCAGGCGGTGGCTCAAAGGGGAGGCGAGGGAGGCGCCGGCCGGGCTCGGCTCGACCTCAAGGCCGACCGGCCGACCAAGGCGAGGCAGCGGCGAGGCACGGCCACCGACGGCGGTGACCGGCGGTGCGGGAAGCGGCGGCGACGGCCGAAAGGCGGCGGCGCATGGCCGGAGCAGCGACGTGGCCAGCGCTCGCGGGAAGTTAAGGAAAGGAGGGGGGGAGGGAGGACTCACCGGCGACACGGCGGCCGGAGCGGAAGACGAAGGCGGCGACGACGACCCGACGAGAGGAGGGGCGGACGAGTGGTGGCGACACCTAGAGGAGGGGAGGAGAGGAGTTAGGGATGGAGAAAGCGACCGCGACGACCAAAATGGCTGGCCGGAGACGGAGGGGAATGGATAGCTCACCGGCTCGCGAGGGAGATAGGGTTCCGGTGGGGTTCCGGCGACGCGAGGCGGTGGCCGAGATGGCCCACACGGCGGCGGAGCTAGCGGCGGCGGCGGCTTGGCGCGGCGGCGGCCCTAGTGGCGACGGCACGCGGCCGGAGATGGGCGGCGGCGGCGGCGCTAGCGGCGAGCGGCCCGCGACCGGTAGGAGGCACGGGAGAGCGCGGCGAAAAGGGGAAAAGGGAGAGGGAGATGCGGGGAAGCTTTATAGGGGCTCGAAAGGGGCGGACATGGCCGGGAAACCCCCCAATTTGGCCGGCGACGTGGGGGAAAAGAGAGAGAAAGTGGGGGGGGATTCAAATCGAATCCCGCCCATTTGCGGGCGCGCGTGCGGGCCGGGAGATGCGGGGGAGAGAGCGGCGACGTGGGCGCGAGGTGCGGGCGCGGAGTGGAGGCGCGACGTGGAGAAGGCGGCGGCGCGGGCGGTTTCGGCGGCGGTTGCCGTCGTGGGGCGGGCGGCTGGAGGAAGGGGACGACCTGACAGGTGGGCCCCACCTGTCAGCGTCCCGGAGAGAGGGGAAGGGGAACGGGCCGGCCCAAAGGAAGGAGGCCGAGCGCGGGAGGGAGTGGGCCGACGGCCCAATAGAGAAAAAAAAAGGAAAAGAAAAAGAAAAGGAAGAAAGGATTTTTCCTGGGATTAAAAATTGCACTTTGGTGATTTTTAATTGGTTAAAATTATTTCCAAGGCTCTGAAAATTCCACTAAAAATCTTGTTAATGCATTGGAGCATGGGGAACTCAAGAAAAAATTCCACCACGCTATTTCCGATTATTAAGTGCATTTATTAACTAGGGATTTAGCTCTAGGTTAATTAAGATAATTTCTTCGGGCAATTTATTTAACCAATTTTTAAAGCAAGAAAAGGGGGAAACTTCAGGGTGTGACAGGGATGGCGCCGCTCCCGAGATGCACGCCGCCAGCTCCTGGCCACCGCTCGCCGCTCACAATCGACCACTGCCAAAGTCACGTCGAGCCGATGCCCACCCGCTGCCTGCCACTATCCGGAGTCATGCCGCCTCCCGCTGCCCACCGAAGTTGCGCCGAGCCGACGCCCGCCCACTCCTGGCCACTGCCTCGTCGGCGGTGGAGCCGAGCCAGCCGCCTGCCGTGCACTGCACGCTGCCCACTAGGAGGGGAGAAGAGGAAGAAAGGGAGGAGACAGAGAGAGAACAGAGGAGTGAAAATAAAAGGGAAAGGAAGAGAGAGAGGAGGTGATAAAAATTGAAGTGGGTGAGAGGGAAAAAGGAGAGGTGGGGAGAAAAAGAATATGTGAAGGAGAGTGAATATTTTTGCGTGCGGGCCACTTAATAGGCCTGCTTGTGAAAATATGCTCATTTTTGTGTACAGCCCCTTAAGAGGCCCGCCTACGAAAATAGATTTTTGCATACGGGCTTTTTAAGAAGTCGTATGCGAAAATGAAGGTCGATTTTTGAAGACACAACCAATTATGGTATGTCTGCAATCTCAAGGCATTCCCGTATTGAAAAATCATTTATATAGTAGTGACCTATTCGTGAATTTATTCAAAACTCAACAGCTTATAATTGTGGAACAGAATGGTATTGCCTTATAATTTTCTCCCCTTTGTGTTTATTTTCAGCCCAGTAATATCTACCTCTAGTAGTCTTTGATGTGTCCCCTCAGGAAGAAGATAGAATCACATTGCATAAGAAGGTATAGAGGAAAGGCAGGCATTGATATGAACAGCTCTCCCTGCTTGTGTCAAACTCCTACCATTCCATCCACTCAGTCTCTTCTCCATTCTCTCAAGTAGAAAATTTAACTTAGGAGTAAGAATCTTCTCAGGTCCAATTGGCAAACCCAGATATTTCATAGGAAAAACTCCAATGGGGCAGTTCAACATTTTTGCAACTGTCTCAGTTTCAGCAACCTTCAATCCCACAGTGGAACTCTGAAACTCTTGTTATGTGGAAAGGAAAAAAAAGAAATTCTTTGATCAGTAAACCTGTCAGCCATTTTGATCCTTAGTTATATAAAATTATTGATTAATGTTGTGTTTTATTACATAGAAAATACAGGAGGAATATCTGAGGAAAACTGATGGTAAGGTGATCATCAATCATGCAGTTCAGAAAGCTGCAGAAATCAATGACTTGAAATTGGGAGGTTCATTAGAAAAGTGCAGTTCAAACTGCTTAAAAAAAATAAAACGGGTACAGGAACAGACATGCATGGTTTACAAAATCCAAAATCTAGTTTATCCTTGGAGAAATCTTCACATATAATACCGATATTTTGTAGTTGATATCTAAGTTGTTGTCATAGAAACAAGCTATTGTATATACACAAAGCCATGTTAACATCTATCAAGAATTACATAATGTAATGCTATCCCCTTACCATTTCCGCCAACCTATATATGATTTCTTAGTGCATTCTATGAGTTAGCATTGCCAAATAGATGATGTTGTGCAAATCATGATGGAGAAATGAATTCCCAGAAAAAACTACTCCTATTAGAATTCAGGTGTTTAGTAAGAGGGCATCGCCAAAATAATTGCTCTGAGGTTTGTTTCTAGCATTGGACCATCCTGCACAAGTGATTCACTATCTTACCTCTCCTCCGCTTCATTAAGAACGATTGACTTTCTGTGGAGCATCCAGTTAATTGGTCAACATAGTAAGCTACATTAAGAATGGTGAAGAATCAGATTAAGCAATGGAACAAACGGTGCCATATGGTATTTGTTACTGACACTTGACGCATGAGATACATTATATTCATCAATTAGTTAAGAAGATCAGGTAAAAGAAATCAACGGATGAACTGTCCCCAATTTTCCTTCGAGATTAAAAATCATCAAATAATGCATTTCTAGAAAATATATTAAAAGTTAAAGCAATTTAATCAAGTGAATTAATGAGGAAATTAAAATTTTCTTTTAAAAATAATGGCTGGAAATAATTGTTGTAATATTCTCGTGCTCTAAAATACTCTCTGAAATTTCCTGTGAATTTTCGGAGCACAATATCTAATTTTAATGTCACAAAGTTCATTTCATCAATTTAATTAAATGGAAAACAAATTAAAACCCCTCTCTCCTCCTTGGGCCTTTTTCGGCGCATGTCTTCCTCTTCTCCCTCCCTCAGCCCGCCGCCCCTCTTCCTCTCTCGGGCTGGCCTCCTCTTCCCCTCCTTCCTCCTATCGGCCGCCGGCCCGTTCGCTCTTTCCTCACCGTAAAGTCCACTTCACGTCCCTCCTCTCTCCTGAGCCGCCGACAGGTGAGGCCCACCTGTCGGGGTCTTCCTCGACCTCCAGCCGGCCTCCCTCCCGCGCCGTCCGCGTGCAGCGCCGCCTCCTCCGCTCGATCCGGCCGTTCCGTTGCTCCCCAAAATTGATTGCAAAAACGGATTTCTCTCTGTCTCCGCTAACTTAACCCCAACAAACCCTCATCAGATTCGTGGTTTATCCATCGAATTTTTTCTCCTTTTTATCCGGTGTACTTGGGATAAACCCCAGTTTTTCCCTCACCGAATTCCTCAAATGCGATCCGATCTTTCCTCCTGTGCCTATAAAAATCCTTCCCCCGTGCTCTCCTCGACCTTTTCTCCCAATTTCCCGAGCTCTCCGTGCCCTAAAACCACCCCGCCACCATCGCCATCTCTCCGCCGCCGTCGCCAACTCCAGCCGCGTTGCGCCGCCCGACGCCGACCTGCGCCGCCATCTCCTCCGGCTCCGCAAGTACTTGGGCTACATCGGCCACTGGTTCCTTTGCGCCGAATCCCGCCGGAAGCCCCTCGTCACCGTGCACCCGAGGTTCTCGGCCTCAGTCGCGCCTCCAGCCGCACCTCACCTCCGCCCTAGCCGCCTCCGCGCTGCGTCGCCACCACCACCGGCTTCGCCGTAGAGTGGCCAAGCCCGGCCACCACTCCGTTTCCCCTATCCACCACCGAAACACCATCTCTTCCACCCAATCCGGCCGCCGTTTGTCGCCATCTCCGGCCACCTCAAACCTTGCCGTCGCCGCCGTTCGCTCCGCTGCGTCGGGGAGAACCTCGGCCGACCCACCATCTTCGCCAAAAGTCGCCGGAGCCCCACTCCCTCCGCTCAAGGTGAGCTCGGTTTCTTCCGCTGATCTCCGGCCGCCTTTTGATGTCGTTTCGTGCCGGTTCCCTACTCCCTAACCCCTCCTATCTCTTCCGCAGGTCTCGCCGTCCCTCGGCCTCCCCTCCTCCTTCGCCGGGCGCCGCCGGAGCCGGCTCACCGCCTCATCCCTGCCGCCGCCGTCCTCTCCCGAGGAGCGCCGCCGCTCGCGTCCCTCCGTCCGTGCATCTCGGCCGCTGCCCCTCGTCGACGTCCCTCGGTGAGCATCCCCCTCTTCCTTCCCCTCTGTCCCGCTGCTCGCCGCCGCCGCGTCATTGGATTATAAACTACTAATACCACATAGCAGGGATTCGAGCATAATATAATCAGATTATATACTCAATAGTTTGACCACCAACAAAGCCCCTCAATGAATTAACATAAGACATAAGACATCCTACCAAAAATGACACTAAAACTATCAGGTCCGAATTTTTTAGTCCAGGAGGGATTAGTGCCGGCTAATAAGCCTAGCAAGAGAGGGACCTAGAGTGTTTGTGGTTGTGCCGGCACCTCTGCCGATGTGCCGGGTGGCGGCGCGCGGCGTAGGTGTACGCTGGAGTTGTAGGAAACAGGATTGCCGGGTAGGTCGTGGAGGATGCAAAGCGAACTGTGAACTCACCGGCAGCGAGGAACACAACGGGGCTGAGTTAGGGTTTGGGGACATTTAATTATTTGCTGCTTTTAAGATGTGTCAATTAATGATTTGTCACTCGCTGTTTATAACATGTGGGCCGCTCATATATCTATGACATATGGGCCCAATAGCAAATCCTTTAGGGATGAAAACGATAGGAAAACAGCCTCAACCATTACCATAACCATATTTTTCTCGGAAACGAAATCGAAAACGGTAAAGTCGGAAACGAAAACGATATCGGAAATATCGAAAAACCGGAAACGAAATAATAGGAACGGAAACATGTCTGTACAAATCGGAAAACCGATAACAAATACGGAAACATTAAACTATAAAACATATATTTAACTTTACATAAGTATGTTATGTGTTATGTGTATACATAAATTTAAGCTTATACTATATAAATTATTATTATAAATTAAATTCATTTTAGCCATACACAAAAGTTAAAGATTTGATTGAAGAGTCAAATCTATCTGTAAGCTATGGGTCAAGTAGAGACATGCCTTATAAATATCTATATATTTAGAATACGGTAATTACCATATTATAAGAAACAGTAATTTTCACAAGAATACGGTAAATACGGAAACGGTAAAACCATTTCCGTTCTCATTTCCATATTTTTTACCGTTTTCATTTTTGTTTCGGTCGATTACCATTTTCATATGACTCGGCTGGTAGAAAGTCGAAAACGAATGCCGGTCGGCCAGAAATTACCGTTACCATTTTCACCCCTAGTAAAAGTGGCAAATAGTTAATTATTTATAGGGTTTGAGGCCTTGAGAGTTGAGATTGAGAGGGGAGGGAGAAATTCCGATGGAGAGCAGACAACGAGCTAACATGGGTGTCTAGTAGTTGTGGCCGGCGTCGAGCTCTACCAGCGCGGGTGGTAGATTGGGCGCCGAAGTTGGGAGGAGGAAAGTGATCTCGGAGAGAGAGAAGCAAAGGGAAAAGATTCGGAAATTACTTCAGTTGTACTAGGAATTCTGAACTTCGTTTATAGTTGTTGTCTGAATTTGTGGTTACTGTTTACTACTGATCGAACTCATCGTCGCGTTTCTGACAAAACTCAGTGTACACAGAGTTGATGCACAAGATGTTTTTGCACCTGTTAAATCCTTTGTAGTTTTTTCTCTGAAAATCTGACCCAAGGATGTTACTAGAAAGCAACAACTATATGATGACACCTACAATCAGATTGCTGCAATCCAGCGTTCTGAATTGACTACCTGAAATCATCTCAAAAGAAAGTTGTTCAGCACATCTAAATTGATTTGTGCCAGATCACTTTTATCTTATTCTACAAAACAGATGCCTTGTATCTGTTATTCTCAAAACGATGAAGCCCATCCCCAAACTAGAGTTTACACATGCAAAACATAACACTGGTGGAGAAAGGATTTGTAGTCCCGATTGGTAACCCTCTGTAGTCCCGGTTTTTCAACCGGGACTACGAATCTGGGACTAAAGATGTCCATCTTTAGTCCTGGTTGAAATAACCGGAACTAAAGATACATCTTTAGTCCCGGTTCGTAACACCAACCAGGACTAAAGATTTAGTCCCGGTTGATGTAACCAACCGGGACTAAAGTTTTTTTTTTTCTTTTTTTTCTTTTCTCATGTTCAATCTCTCCAAATCATTATAAAAATAACAAATAACAAATCACACCACAAATCACAAATAATATATAGCACGAATCACAGATACACGAATCATAGATAGTTCACATATCACATATCTCCTAATATCATTCACAAATCACAGATCGCATCACAAATCACAGATCGAACAAATCACACAGATCCCACATCACATTAAGAAGGAAAAAAAGAAAAAAAAAGCAAAAAATTCCATGCCGGGCGGCCCTCCGCAACTGCCGCGGGGCGGCCCTCCACGACTCTGCTGCCAGCCGCCGCGGGGCGGCCCTCCACGCCTCTGCCGCCTGCCCTCTGGACGGGCAGCCGCCGCCGCCAGGCCCTCCGCGCGGGGCAACCGCCGCCAGCGCCTCCACCACCTGCCTCGGCGCCGGCCGGCGCTTGCCGCCGCCGGCCCTCCGCGCCGGCCGCCGCCCGCTGCCGCTAGGAAGACAGGGGAGAGAGGAAGGGGAGGAGGAGAAGGAGAAAGAGGAGAAGGAGTGAGGAGGAGAATGAGTGGAGGGGAAGAGAAGCTAAGGATAAGACTGAGGAGGAGGATCAGACAATAGACACGCGAAGAGATAAACATCGCGCGCGGCTTGGGTGATTTTTAGTCCCGGTTGTTCTAAACAACCGGGACTAAAGATAGATCTTTAGTCCCGGTTGGTACAACCGGGACTAAAAATAATTGGGGCCTGACACGACCTGACAACCTCTTCAACCGGGAGTAAAAATGAACCAACCGGGACTAAAGATCAAAAAATACCCCTAAGCTTTTAAACCGGGACTAAAGATGTTTCTTAGTCCTGGTTTTTATTGGAACCGGGACTATTGTGTAATTGGGCCGATCGACCAAAGATGGTTTCTCCACCAGTGTAAATCCAGCCACCATGAAAACCAAAAGCATTACATTAACATAAAAATGGAGATTAACAGCAGAGATAAAACCCTAAAAATATACAGAAAATCATCAATATGCTTTTGTTCAACTAACTCAAAACAACACAGTTTATCAGCCAGTAGCATCAAAAATCGCCCAAACCACACCAAACGAACTAATTAACTCCGAATCACAAAATACTACCATAAAACTCTACCACAAATCCTCTCAACTAAACCAAAGCGGGAAACAACAAAGCTAACCAAAAAAATAGATCCCCCGATCTGGAGCCAGGAGATCCCGAGACACTACGGCGAGAGATTAGACCAGCACAAAATCATGTCGTGAAATTAAAAACGAAAACGCCATGGATCTAAAACTAAAACGCCATTGATCTAAACCCAAAACATCATGGAACTAAAACAAAAAAATCACCAATCAAATCAAGCTAGCTCGGGGGAACAAAAATCACTTCCAAAATTAAAAACCCTAACTGCAATGACCGAAGAATAATAGGGATGCTTGAGGAGATAAGGAGGCGCACCTCGTAGCGTTGGACAAAATCGTCGGAGAATCACTGGAGAAATTGAAATCGCCGGAAAGGGATAAGAGGATTTGGGATTATCAATGTGGGGAGAGAAAAGCGAAACGCACCGTTCAAAAACGCAACAACGCTATTTCTGATATAACTTTATCTTTGATATTTTTCCGCTTCCGCTTCTGATAAGGATGATAAAAAAAAAAGGAAAAATAGAAAAGCAATCAGGAAACGGGGCCATGCGAAGAAAGTTGCGGACGGCCCAAGCCCAATACGACAGATACGCCTAGACCAGAAAAGGCAAGGGGAAACCACACGTTTGGGCCAAGATAACGAAAGGGGAAATCGATCGCTCGGCTTTTATCCCAGAGATCGATTAGGATTTTTGATTCGCTCCTACCAAATTTCCTTCCGCCGACGGCGCCTCCAACCCACACGCACGCGCCACCTCCTAACCCTACCTTTCTTTTCTTCCATATATGGATCTAATCCCTCTCTCGCTAGTTTTTTAACCTTCTTCCATATATATCCATCTAATCCCTCTCTTGCTAAGCGCTCGGAATTACCCACACGTGTTGGTGCATGCGCATGCGCGCTCGGCCATAACCCCCGGCCGGCGAGAGCTCTCGACCACAGCTCGTCGTGCCGTCGTTGTCGTGTGCGTCTCCACGGTATATCTATCCTGGGCGTGCGGCGGCGGTGTAGGCAGTGCGCGCGTCGCGGCTGCCATCGATTACAAATTGGTCGGAGAGGCGAGAAATTAGCTATTTTCCTATAGTTTCCTCTCTTTTTTTCATGTTCTTGTTATTAGACTGGTTTCCCTGTATGTTCTACTATATCCTTCTAGACTTGTTTTTTTTTAATTTCCTTTCTCCTCCAATTTGGATGGGGTTATTATTTTGTTTGCTCTCTCAATCTAGCAGCATGCTACCCGCGCGTTAAAGGGATTAATATGCCATCATATTTTTCATGAACAAATAGTCAACATATATTTAAATTGTAAGTTTCTTTCTAAATTACAGATGTAATTTTAGTCTATTTATTTACAATGTAAGTCTCTAAATTACATAAGTAATTTTAAAATTTTTACAATGTAATATATTTAACTTTGCAACCGGTTATGGACATAATAAAGAACCGTGGACACAAAATAGGAGAAAAAAATGAATTTATTATTAATTGTACAAGTCCGCGAAAAATGAGCACAGAAGAGTTGGAGCTTGATCAAGTGTCCTAGTTAGTTACGCTTTCGGATAGCTTTGATCTGACGCAAAAAAATCTGACTCTAATCAGCCCACAAATATATATGCCAGCACATGTTTAGTAAAACTGTATTATGTTTGTTCACATATATGAACGAATAGGTAATGAGTACTGTAATAGTGGGTTAATTAATTAGCTTGCCAGCTTCAGGGGTGCCAATATTAGTTCTCTCATGGTTTCCACAAATTCCCGATGTTGTTCTTGTGCCTTTTTCTTTGGCTAAAATTAAAAGTTCTAGAAAACATCGTGTCATGCTAGTTTTGAGCAGAAGTTTAAAAAAAAAAAGAGGTTATCTTTGACCAGAATACTAGATGGATATCCCAATAACTTCCAATGGCTCTACGGTTTGAGATAGTTCAATATGCAACTTCTTTCCAAGGGCCGCTCTATTATTTGGAAATAATTCAACATGAACTTCCCAAGGGCACTACGGTTTTAGATAATTCATCGAATTAATAACTGCATTCTGTAGTTTGATTTGCATACATGTAATCCTCAAGATATCTCCACGTATAACTAATCTTGCATATCCTGCCTATTCAGAATTGAGATATATCTCATCTAAACTCTCAATTAATAATTGACAGGTGCACACACAAACACGGGATTATGGCGGCGGATAAGAGCCCTATCGACGAGGCTCTCCTACATGGCAAACACGAAGAGGCTCTCCTACATGGCAAACACGAGCACGTGGAGCAGCAGCTCCTCCCCACCAGCGGCGGCTCATTCTGCATCACCGGCGCTTCCTTCGGGAGGAGTTGCCTCAACCTGAGCAACGTGATATCTGGCATCGGGATGCTCTCCGTGCCGTACGCGTTGTCGCAGGGCGGGTGGCTCAGCTTGGCGCTCTTCGCCATGGTCGGCGCCATCTGCTTCTATACTGGCAAACTCATCTATCGCTGCATGCGCGCCGACCGTTGTGTACGGAGCTACCCGGACATCGGCTACCTCGCCTTTGGCCGTTACGGCCGGACAGCTATCGGCCTCATCATGTATGTCGAGCTCTACCTCGTCGCCATCAGCTTCCTCATCCTCGAGGGCGACAACCTCGACAAACTCCTCCCCGGCACGGTGGTGAAGATCCTGGGGTACCAAGTGCATGGGAAGCAGCTGTTCATGCTCGTGGCGGCTGCCGTCATCCTCCCGACGACGTGGCTCAAGAACCTGAGCATGCTTGCCTACGTCTCGGCGGTTGGGCTCGTCTCGTCGGTGGCGCTGACGGTGTCGCTGGTCTGGGCCGGCGTGGCCGACAAGGGCTTCCATATGGCGGGCAGTAGTATCTTGAATCTCAGCGGGTTGCCCACCGCCCTCAGCCTCTACTTCGTCTGCTTCGCTGGCCATGGCGTCTTTCCGACCGTGTACTCCTCAATGAGGGCCAGGAAGGATTTTCCTAAGGTATAGTTTTTAAAATGTATTTATGTGTTGTACTTGGTAGTAAGTTTGCTAAAATTTGTGATAATAATTAACAATGCAAATTTAGAATTATGGTTAATGAAATTGAAAAGTCAATTGTGGAAATAAATTAGCAACAGGTTTAGTAAGAATACAACATATTGTTTTTTTATTCTATGTATGCACGGAAGACGCACACACTCATTATTATTTTTTAGAAATCGTACATCAGTATATTACTAATCATGCACACTATTAGCTCATGGAAGTTTTCTTAAACAATTTTGATCCTTTCACCATTCTTTTACTGATACTTATCCATGATCTAACGACATATATTGTATCAACCGTTGCATTCAATGGTCCATATTTTCATATGATGTAGCTCAATGATGTTGCATTTTAAGTTTTACCTTTCACTTAGAGAGATTTGGCAACCAATGATAATTGATCATTGGATTATCAGTTCCAATTATCATAATTTGGTTTATGAAACCATGATGATGATGATGATGATGATGATGATGATAACGCTCTATTCCTCTCCAATTAATGTGCAGGTTTTGCTGATCTCTTCGGTGTTGTGCAGTCTCAACTACGCAGTGACAGCAGTGTTGGGATATAAGATCTACGGTGAGGATGTGCAGGCGCAGGTGACACTAAACTTACCCACGGGAAAGCTGTACACCAGGATTGCCATCCTAACGACCCTGATCACCCCACTGGCGAAGTACGCGCTCGTGATCCAGCCCGTCACGACCGCGATAGAGGAGAAGCTGTCGACAGCGGCGGCGGCGGTAGCGGCTGATGCCGAAAACAATAGGCTAACCAGGGTGCTCACCAGCACAACCGTCGTCTTCAGCACGGTGGTGCTGGCATGCACGGTGCCCTTCTTCGGCTACCTCATGTCGTTCATCGGGTCCTCATTGAACGTCACTGTCGCCGTCCTGTTCCCGTGTCTGAGCTACCTCAAGATCTACATGCCTCGAGGAGGAGTTGGCCGCTTCGAGGTGGCGGCGATCGTTGGGATACTGGTCATCGGAGTGTGTGTCGCCGTCATTGGCACCTACACCTCCCTTCACCAGATTATAGGCACATTTTGATTGTACATTTGTGGGTATGGTGGTAGGTTTAGGTAGTAATTAAATAGGTTTCAAATTCTTTTTTTTATTTATTTTCTTAAAAAAACAACATATATGTTATACTGAGTGTTAAGAATCAACTGAGCGGCTATATATTGCATGTGTACTCTCCTGGAATGCATATGTGTATTATCACTAAGGAAGTTTCAGAACTTTCATTGTCTTCATGTTGACTAATTATTGCAGCTAAAATTTAAATTTTGAAATTACTTAAGTTTTAAGTTATTCTGAAGTTTATCCATCATAGTTTATCTTCTTCTACCCTTAGATTTAAATCACTGGTAACATGTATAAAAGTTGGGATTTGTAACATATATGTCTGCAATTTTTTTTTTGGTTTTATCTATAAATTATTATTTTTGGTTTGTTTCATTCAAGGCTTATTAGCCTAACTAAATTTTGTCGATTCTGAAAGTATGGTGAAATATGACGCAAATGGCCATGCTTCTTATGAGATTAATTTTTTAATGAAAGATCGGTAGAGTAAATTCCATTTGTTTTCTAATAGATGACGCCGTTAACTTTTAAATAAATGTTTGACCATTCGTTTTATCCAAAAATTTTATATAAATGTATAAGATAATTAAATCATGCTTAAAGTACTTTAAGTGATAAAACAACTTAAAAAATATATATTATAATTACATAAAATTTTTGAATAATACGAATAGTCAAACGTGTGACAAATAATCAATGGTGTCATCTATAGAAAAAAACAGAGGCGATGGCGGCGGCTGCGATCCAGACCGGTGGATCCCTCGACGAAGGCGAGGAGAGGAGGAGAAGTTCACCGGTGAGCTGCGTGCCGTCACCGGCACGCAGCTCGATCTCCATTTACTTCGCCGTCTTCCCCTACTGCATGCAAACAATGTTGTATCGAGGGCTCTGCACCACGATCGAAGTGGTCCTCGAGCTCTGGGTACTCCGATTGCCTTGCCTAGTTGGAGCTTCATTAAGCCATGCATGCTCGCGGGAAGGAGCTCAAGCTGATAGCCCACTCGTGGAGTCTGCCACCGCCAACTCCACCACACCTCGTTAATTTTGCCGTCGTCGGGCGGAGCAGCTTCCAGAGCTGGCGCCCGGCCCTCTACTACCCTCACCGCCCGCCGCCTTGCTCCTCATCGGCGCGGCCCGCTCGCCTTCCTTTTCCGTGGCTCGAAATGGAGTAACTTGTAGAGCCAGCGCTGCTCCAACAGGGAGTAGGAGGCTGGCTGCCGCTGGACTTCGAGTTCGGCCCACCCGTGCTGATCCCCTTTCGCTCTTGCCCCGTGCTCCCTCTCGCAGTGGCCCTACCCTCTTCCATATTATTTTCTGGACGTAATGACATGTAAAGCGCCATGTAGATGTCAAGTGAGAAAAAAAAACAAGTCAAAATGTTATGTAGGATAAAACTGTTGTTTCAAATCACCCTAGGATTTGATTTGCACTGGTTTTGATAGTAGAAATAGGGGTGGGCAGAAAAAGACCGAACCGAAAAGACCGAGACCGAGAAATCCGGTCATCAATTCGGTCCTAGGTAGTAAAAGACCGAATTTTGTTCGGTCAACTCGGTTAGTCTCCTCGGGTAACCGAATAGACCGAATTATTAAAAAAATGTCTAAATACAACATATAATCCACTATGTTTAATAGGATTAAATTCTAATTTTCACATCCCTACTTTTTCTAGACATGCAACCTAATAAGAGTCTTTACTCATAACTGCTTATGATTGTTTTTTTTGTTATTTTTGTGTTGAAAATTTCCATTATTTCTTTGCATATATAAAAATGTTATTGTATTTCGGTTAGGACCGAGAAGACTGAGACCGAATTTGTCGGTCCTGACATTTTTTCGTTGAAATTCGGTCTTCACTTTTCAAAGACCGAAATTTTCGGTTAGACCGAATGCCCACCCTTAAGTAGAAGTATGACATATACTTTTGTGGAGGAGGGATGAAAATGAAACTCGGCCTATAGCTGAGGTATGCAAAATGGACTTTTTCCTTGTTCCTATTAAGGCCTTCTTTATTAGGCCGAAATACCAGCCCATAGGTGGACATGGATGGTCTCAGACTATGGACCATGTCCAAATGAGGCCTCGTAGAAGGTAACGAAAGCTAGAGGTTACAGAGGGCCAGCAGCATCCCGGCATAGCCGGTTGGCTAGCAGTCCCGGTCCAAAACCAAACTCGGGAGTCCACCAATGCTGCTAGGTCTCGGTGCCGGTGGGTCTCTCGTCGGACCTGGGCTTCAGTTGGGCACCATGCGAGCAGCAGACACCGGCACACCGCGTGAGCAACTAGCGAAACAGCAGACACCGCGCGAGCCGTGAGCAGCAAAGCTTTCGCTACGCATCTTCGCTAGCTGCAGAATGCCCCCCAAACCCTTTGCTAGCTGCAGAACGCCCATCCTTCCTCCCGCCCGCACTCGATCGCCCGCCTACGCAGGATGACAGAATCTTTATCTCCACCACGGTCCACGCTCGTACGCCGCGACCTGTCTTGGCCGGCCGCGTGTATGCATGCTTGAAGAGCTTGATGGACAGTGGACAATTGGAAAGGTTCCAGTGTTAGTTCTCACAAAAAAAAAAAAGTTCCAGTGTTCCAAATGAGGTTTACGGGCGTTTTTTTTTTTTAATTACAAAGTACAACGTAGACACTCAAAACACAAGCACACTCACCGTTATGAACGCACGCACGCAAACCATACCGGCCATATAAGCATCTTTGAAGGTTCGTGGATATTCTTAACCAAAACAAAAATAATTATCTTTATCTTTATCTTTATTTTTATATCTATACCTAATTAAAAGATTCGTATTTTTCCTTTAGTCACATTTTATTTCGTCCATATGTCCGATTCCCTCCCTCTCAGCGCGTGCATGGGCGGTTTACAAAACTAGGGTTTCTCTTTCAACATCTATACGATATGGTTTTGCTTTGATTCTTGGGAAAACGGAAAGAGGAGAAGATAAGGATCAAAACCCTCAATTTCGGATTATCTCACTGGATGTGGCCAGATTTCACAAAGGAGGGGGATTCAAGCCTTCTCAGGCAGATGCGGCAATACAGACGGAGGTTGGAGACGCCCCTGTAGTACTGGCCCACGTGACAATGAAAGGAGTGGGGGAGGCTGATTAGACTTGGCGACAGTGAAGGAAAGAATGGGGGAGGATGATTAGACTTGTAGTGCCTTGCTGGGCTGGATGCGTACTTGCGGGCCGAAGCAAAGGGGAGGAGAAGGGAGAAAAGTGGGTCGGCTAGGCTACGGGCTGAGGAAGGAAACGGGCTAAAATTGGCCCAAGAGAAAGGAGAATTTTTATTTAGATTTTTGTTTAAATAAATGCTGAAATGATGTTTGTATTATTAAAATTAGCCATTGAGATCTGAAAATTTCAAGAAATTTCTAGATAGTGTAATTAATCATGGAGAACTTCATAAAAATTAAATTCAGGCATATCATTTTATTTCCACACTTACTTTACTTTTCAATTAATTTAAACACCTACCTACTTAAAAAAATCAAGTATTCCAGGAAATGTGTATTTAAGTTAATTACATAATCTAAATCTTTCTTAAATTCTCCTCGATTTTCTCATCTTTTCTTCCCGTTGTAACGCACGGGTATTTTTTATAGTACCTACTAAAAAACGAAATATGTTTCCAACCAAAATTTCGATCGTCCGTCAAAATAACAAAAAATTTGTTTTTTGGTTACAAGGAGGGAACCTGTTTTCTTTCGAAAACGCTTTACTTCGGACGTCCGACCCGAGCAAAATAATCGGACGCTACCACACGAAAGTACTCCCAGAGTAGGCACTACATGCAGCGATGGGCCCACAAAAACAGGAGAATGCCAGATGTGCGGGCACCCGATGTAGTGCGCATGCATTGGGCGCTGCTACCGCTTGGGCGCACCACGCCGCCTGTTGTGCCACCCACGTCTCTCCTACACGCGTCCTCGTGCTGCCACGTGTCCCCACCACGCGGCACCAGAGAGGTTGGCACCGTCCCATTGTATGACGGTGCCAACGACTCTGGCGCCCCGATAAGTTTTTTCAGGGTTCTATTTATGAAATAAGTTTTTTTAAAAGGATCAGGGAGGTCACTTTGGTGTTGAGTACGTAGTATATCACTAGAAACAACAATTTTACCGTCGCCATTCTTCCAAGGTTGGTGTTTACACTCTGATATTCTTCATATCTCTTATATTTGCTGGTATTAACATAAGAGTAAAGTGCATAGACGGGTCCTTAAACTCGTAGGGTTGTGTCATCTAGGCCCTAAAGTCTAAAAATGCAGATTCGGGTCTCAGAACTTGTCAAAGTGTATCATTTAGATTCCAAATCGATATAGCCCTTTAGTATCCTACGTAGCGCCAATGTGGCATGCCACATGGACGTGACGTGTCATTTTCTTTTTTTTTCTTTCCTTTTTCCTTTTCCTTTTTGTTTTCTGATCTCATTCTTCTTTTTGTTTCCTTTCTTCTGCTCGGCTCACAGAGAAAGGAGAAGAAAGGGAAAAAAAAGAGAAGAAAAGAAGGAAAAAGAAAAAGAAAAAATTTTAAATGGGTTCCATTTGTCACATCATGTTCGTGTGGCATGCGACATCAGCGTCATGTAGGATCTCAAAGGGGCTGTGGCGATTTGGGATTTAGATGACATACTATAATAATTTCTGAGACTTGAATATACATTTTAAGAGTTTATAGACTTAGATGACACAATATTACAAATTTAAGAACCACTCGTGTACTTTACTCTTATCATAAGTTAGTAGTCTTCAGTCAACGGCCGGTAACCTCATAGAACAGAATAAAGACAGGGAACAAACTCCAGATTCTTCCCGTCAGCTGACAAAGCGGGAAGAATTCTAGTTTTAGTGAAGCGGTAGAAGTAACTATTTTCAACCAAAGTGTTTGAGCCCCAAATCCTCGCTTTTGTTGAAAACAAAAACAGTGGTAGATGTAATTATAACATGTACTCCCTCCGTTTTAAAATGTTTGACACCGTTGACTTTTTAGTACATGTTTAACCGTTCGTCTTATTCAAAAAAATTTATAAAATATGTAAAATTATATGTGTACATGAAAGTATATTTAATAATGAATCAAATGATATGAAAAGAATAAATAATTACTTAAATTTTTTGAATAAGACGAATGGTCAAACATGTACTAAAAAGTCAACGGTGTCGAACATTTTGAAACGGAGGGAGTATTATCAATATGTTTTGATTTGCCTCTCAAAATAATACGTCCGCATCTCGGCAGTGCGCGTCCCCCCTTCGCCCGTCACAGTCGGCGCGCGTGACGGCCTTGGAGCCAGACGAAAAGCAGGTCGAGACCGCTCCACCGCGCATATCCACGCAACGCAACTGGTACGTGCTGCCTTGACGCGCCCAGAAAAGCGGCACGGCTTCCACATTTTTCGGCCAAATATTATATCCGGCCGTGTACCGGAGCACGTGCCGAGAACACGTCGCCGTCGTCACGTCTCCCGCCGTGATCTAGCGCCAACCGGGGACGACCAATCACGTATAGCCGGAGAGGTCAATAGCCGAGTAGGCGACCACTCGTTTGGTCTATTGGCCAGTTAGAATCGCTGCAGGTTTTAAGCAAGGGGGATAAATTAAGAGTCCTGGACGCGTTGGCGGGACAGGGACGTGTGTTTCGTCTTCGAGAGCTCGACTTCACTCGCACCGTGTCCGTGTGTTGCGTGTGTATATATAGCTGGGCAGCCACGCTCTGGTTTCCATCAAACTAGAACTGAACTGAGCGAGCTAGCTGCTTCTACAACTGTGCAGGTAGCTAATTAATCTAGCAATCCTCCCGTAGATTGGAATAATGGCAGATCAGAAGGTGATTCTCGCCGAGCCGCTGCTTCCGGGGAAGGAAGCTGACTTCGCCGACGACGACGACGTGGAGGCGCAGCTCACTTCGTACCACACCGGCGCCTCCTTCTCCAGGACGTGCCTCAACCTCACCAATGCCGTCTCCGGCATCGGGGTGCTGTCCATGCCGTACGCGGTGTCGCAGGGCGGGTGGCTCAGCCTGCTGCTCTTCGTCCTCGTCGGCGCCGTGTGCTACTACACCGGCACGCTCATCGAGCGCTGCATGCGCGCCGACGGCTCCATCGCCAGCTACCCGGACATCGGCCAGTACGCCTTCGGCGCCACCGGCAGGAGAGCCGTCGCATTCTTCATGTACGTCGAGCTCTACCTCGTCGCCATAAGCTTCCTCGTCCTCGAGGGCGACAATCTCGACAAGCTCTTCCCCGGCGCAACCATGGAGATTCTTGGCTACCAGCTCCACGGCAAGCAGCTATTCATTGTACTCGCCGCCGCCGTCATACTGCCCACTACCTGGCTCAAGAATCTTGGCATGCTCGCTTACGTGTCAGCGGCCGGGCTCATCGCCTCGGTGGCCTTGACGGCGTCACTGATCTGGGCCGGTGTCGCCGAGACCGGGTTCCACCGGAACAGCAACACGCTCAACCTCGCCGGAATCCCCACCTCCCTCGGTCTCTACTTCGTCTGCTTCACCGGCCACGCCGTCTTCCCGACGATATACTCCTCCATGAAGAACAGCAAACACTTCTCCAAAGTTCTCTTGATCTCGTCGGTGCTGTGCAGCCTCAACTACGGGCTCACGGCGGTGCTGGGCTACATGATCTACGGTGACGATGTGCAGTCGCAGGTGACGCTGAACCTGCCCTCCGGCAAGCTCTACACCAAGATCGCCATCGTGATGACGCTGGTGAACCCGTTGGCCAAGTACGCGCTGCTCGTGGCGCCGATCACGGCGGCCGTCGAGGAGAGGCTGTCTCTGACGCGGGGCAGCGCGCCGGCGAGGGTGGCCATCAGCACCGCCATCCTCGCCAGCACGGTGGTGGTGGCGTCGACGGTGCCCTTCTTCGGCTACCTCATGTCATTCATCGGCTCGTTCCTCAGCGTCATGGCGACCGTGCTGTTCCCTTGCCTCTGCTACCTCAAGATCTACAAGGCCGATGGCATCCACCGCACGGAGATGGTGGCCATCGCCGGAATTCTGCTGCTAGGAGTGTTCGTCGCCGTCACCGGCACGTACACTTCTTTGCTGCAGATTATAGCCACTTTCTGAGGTGGTTGGTTGCTGTTGGTCTCTGATAGTAGACAGTAGTACTTACAGACAATAGTGTGACCACAGTGTCCTTAAAATAAAGGGCGCTTGAAAAAATTTTCGGAGTTAGTTTGTATCTAAGATAAAGCTGAATCAATAATATTGACTTAGGTGAAAAAATTGTATATATTATTGGTGCCAACAATGTCAATGTTGTATTTAATAAATATCAGATATGAGACACTAATTTAGGTTTATTTGTAAAAAAAAAAATGCCAAGTGACTAATTTGTTTAAGGAACAAATCCATAAGAGATGTTGTCGACAATGTCAAGGGACAAATTTGTTAAAGTAACAAAGCCATAAGGGGAGGATCCACTAAAAAAAAAGGAATGGACAGCGATACCTGTGTTTTGCTATTTGAATGACGGCCGATGCTTCCAAAATCCAAACCTACCCACCTAGGTACTACAGACCTGAAGCAACGAAGAACGAAGGTTTTTTCCTCTGCTATCGAGAGGTCTTTCGTTGCATGTCATTCAAATATTTATCAAAAATCTTAAAAGAACAACAATAAATTGAAATTCAACCTATTCAAGTTGAGGAAAAATAATAAATTAAAATCTAATGTTTTGTTATTTTTGTTTTAATAACCTATATAGATTAAATTTGAAATTGCATAATTGTTAAATATGCACGTTTGTGAAACGATATATAATATATTAAGCTATATTTTTTAACTTTTCAAAAAAAAAGCTATTTAAATAGCATGGAAAAAAGGAAGAGCATTTTACTCTCTAATGGGAATAGTTAACTCACATATATAGATGCTAAATATGCTTCACATGCATTTGGGGATAGTTAACTCACATATATAGATGCTTGATTAATCGCCAGTATGTTTACTGAGAAAGAGAAGAAAAGGAACTGATAAGTCAAAGGAACTGATAAGTCATCGCCCCCTACAAGCCCAAACAGGCAAAGGTGTACGATGTGGGTCGGAGTGACATGGTCGTGGCTTCGCCGCTTTGGGTGGAGGCGTGGAGCGATGCGGGCAGTGGAGCAGCATGCTTTGGGCCACCCGACGCAAGAAGAGAAGGCTGACGAACATAGGGTGGAATAATTTGTATGAGTAGCAAAGGAGGGGCGTGGCTCTGGGTGCCCGGACGAGACGCTGGAGCGGAGCTGCTCTGGCACTCGGCTCAGCAGCGGAGGAGCGAGCTGTTTCTAATCCGGCAACCTCTCTGCTAGATCACCCAGCTCTTCGCCTCTACTCTAGGCCTCCGTTGTCAGATTCAGTAGATTCCACCTCTCTACCTCATTCCCCACCTCTATTCCTTCTACCTCTATTCTTCCACTACTTCTAATCCTACACCTGGGGAGCCGATCCCGATCGTGGCACGAGTTCGATCCAGAGGCGGTCAAATTTTACCGTTCCTCCAACCCAAACATCCATTTCATACTTACGGTTGGATTTTGCTGGCGCAGGGGATGCGAACCCTATGGAATAAGGTCACCATAGGGCCCTCAACTGAACAGCGAGATTTTCTAAGATCCTTTAACTAGAAAACCAGAAATGTGTACCTCTAAACTCTCTCAAACCATTCACCGAAGGTCCCTTGGCAGTATTTTTGCCTGGTTTTACTGACGTGGCATCCTAGTCAGAAAAAAAATAAAAAATTACGTGCGGCCCACATGTCAGCTGCACTTTTTTCCCTTTTCTTTTCTTCTCCTTCTGTACTCTCTTCTCTGATTCTCTCTTCAGCAAGCGCGGCAGCCACAAGCGGAGCGGCGTGACGGGGTTCTCCTCCGTGGAGACGACGAGCACGGCCGCGGTGGCGATGGCAGGTTCCCAGACCCAGAGCCAGCGGTTGCCGACGCCGACGCGGCAAGTAGCGGGCGAGCGCGGCTGGAGCAGGTGGAGGGGCGGCGGTCAGTGGGAGAGCGCAGTTGCAGCGGCTCAAGCGGCGGGCGAGCGGCAGCAGGCGGCGGTGCGCGGCCGGAGCAGGTGGAAGGGCGGCGTTGGCGGCTGTAGGCGGCGGAAAGCGGCGGTCTGGTCCCGGGGACTCGAGGAGAAGGAAACGCGAGCACCGGGGCCGAGGCGCGTGGGGAGCTGGTCGCGCAACGCGGCGACGTCGTCGGGGCTGAAGAGGAACCTGCGGTGGTGCACGAGCTCGTCGCCTGGACGGAGCTTGTCGCTAGCCTCGTCTGATGCCGGCTCGTACTCGGGGTGGTCATACGCCGGACGCGGCGGGTGGCGCGCGTCGAGGGGCTCCCTCGCTCACACCGGCCAGACGCTCTGCGCCTTCCGCGAGCTCACCGACGGCCTGCAAGAACTGCGTGATCCCCGCCGCGTCGACGAGGTTGTGGCAGATCTGGGTGCTGAACACGAAGCCGCCACACCTCAGTCTCGTCACCTATGATGCAACACGAAACCGCCACACCTCAGCCTCGTCACCTACATGCATGGCATCATGAACACGTAAATCACGCACAATACAAATGGTGCAAAATTTGCAAAGTTTATTCAAGTTTTATGACGACGTACGTACCTGCACATAGAGTAGTGGCCGGTCGGTGACGACGGTGAAGTTGCTATCCGGCAGGGTCAAGAGTTCGCCGGCGCAAGGGATCGGCGGGCACAGCGAGTCACCGAACTCCTCCAGCGAGACATCGGCATCGGCCTCGACGAACGAGACGAACGCGGAGGAGGCCGATGAGGAAGTCCACCGCGTCCTTGTGCGCCTTCGCGTACAGCACGCGATGCAAGCGCTTGTCCACCAGCAGCTTCAGCTATGGCCCGGCCCCGGCGGGCTTCGCCTGCGCCGTCATGTCGTTCGCCGTCTGCAAGCACGTAGTGCTCCTAGCAATCAATAATGATGTCCACATTTTTATTGACGGGAGCGATCAAGGAGCAGCGGACGGTGAGCTCGGCGGCGACGTAGGCGCAGCAGCAGCATCTGGGCGGCGGCGAGGAGCGCGCGGCGGAGAATGCGGCATCGGTGTAGCAGCCGCTGCTCCGGCTGAACGTGCTGGCTCCAGGTCTGGGAACCTGCCGTCACAGCCACGGCCGTGCTCGTCGCCTCCACGAAGGAGAACCCCATCACGCCGCTCCGCCTGTGGCTGCCGCGCTCGCTGAAGAGAGAAGAGAGAAGAGAGAAGAGGAGAAGAACAAAAGAGAGAAAAAAAAAGATGTGCAGCTGACATGTGGGCCCCACGCAATTTTTTAATTTTTTTTTGCTGACTAGGATGCCACGTCAGCAAAACCGGGCAAAAATACTGCCGAGGGATCTCCGGTGAACGGTTTGAGAGAGTTTAGGGGTACATATTTCTGATTTTGTAGTTAAGGGATCTCAAAAAAATCTCGCTGTTAAGTTGAGGGACCTCCGGTGACCTTATTCCGAACCCTATTGGACGGATAACCCAATTTTTGTTTTGCGCCTATTGGGCCGTTTGTCTTGCCGCCTGGTCGAACTACTCGGCCCGCTGGAGAGTGGAGACAGTGGGCCCATGCACCGCGTGTTGCGAAGACGCGGACGGCCTCCGCCGCCGCCGGCGAAGCGCTGCCCTGCCAGTGCCAGGTGCCAGACGTGACTGCGTGAGAGGCCAGCGAAGAGATGGATGGCCAAACCATATGGGCGGCCCTACGATTCCTCGCCGGCCGGCCGGATCGATTCCGTGTACCGCATGCTGCGGCCCCATCTCCGACTTCCTCGGCGTGCCGGTTGGATCGGGCGCTGCACCGGATGCTGGCAAGATTGCTGTGGAGGAGATCAGCTCGCTGCTGTCGCGATCGACAGTCGCCGGAATCCATTGACCAGTAGCCGACTCCGCCTGGGACGACCTATACTTTGGCACTTTTATTAGCGACGACCTACTTGCTTGTGCAGGTAGGCACAAATATTTGTCCAGCGATCAGTTAGCTTTCTCATAAATCGGTGTCGAAACATGAATTCGGCAATAATAAAAGGGGGTAGCGCACGAGACCTAAAAGTGGATGGATGCGGAGACAAAGGATTTAGACAGGTTCAGGCCCTCTCAATGAGAGGTAATACCCTACTCCTGTTTGGGGATTTGAATCCGCCGAGTGTGTATTGATCTGACAATCAGATTGTGTCATGCCCCCTAGAGGGCCTCCTGCCCACCTTATATAGGGTGGGGGGCAGGATTACAAGATAGAAACCTTAACCAATACGGTATCGGTTTCCTAAATCTACTTTACAATATTATCAAACCAGGACTTTAGGCTGTTCCGTAATATATAAGGAAACGTAATACCCGAGTCATGATCTATTACATATTCCATAGATATAAGTTATCCCCTATGACTAGTCGGATAACCATGCCGTATGGGTATGGGGTACCCATAATATCCACAGTAGCCCCTGAGACCTTCGCAGTCGAAAAGATAATCTTCTCTCGAACCAGATTACTCCAAAGCCGAGTGCTTCAATCATCTTTGTCATGGTCTCCCGAGTACTTTTACCAAATCTGAAGACTGTGGAGGGCTGGAAAATAAAGTCAGGTGCACCGACTAGATGCACCTAATAGGTGTAGCCCCCGACAATGTGGTTAATTGAATAAACCAAGCATATAGTCAAGGAATAAATAATCCAATCAACCGAGTGGTTTTGATAATCGTAATCAACCAAGTGACTTGATATCAATATATAGCATATGCGGTGTGAATCCTCCAAATAACATGATCCGAGTGATATACCAACTGCTTTGTAAAATATGATGAGTGATATAGCAAAATAGCTATAAAGAAGCTTGTATATTGTGAATAAAGAAATTTCCAAAGTATTGGGCATACGCCATGCGCACACTGCTTTAACAGATGTGCTTAAGTCCCTAGAAGACACATGGTTTCACCACACCTGGAAATATATGGCATATGTGGTGTAAAATCCGAGTAAATAAACTCATAAAGGATTTACCAACCGCCTAGAAAATGACCACAATATATAATCAGCCTAAGCCATAATATTGGTCAATAAAAATGCACACTTACGTGGCGAAAAGCAACGATATTGTATCCAATCAATTGCTTAAAAACCCAAACAGCACCATGACTATATTAAAAAGTCAGCGGGGCAGCTATATAAAGCTTTACTGTTTGACACCTTTTAAGATGCATTGTACCAACTCCTAAAAAGTTGAGTAACTGCGGTATAAAAGGATTTTAAGGTATTGGGCACTTGATCACGCGCACTTTGGCCTAAGCAAAAAGTGCCTAAGTCCCTAAAAGAACGTGACAGGCCACACCTGAAAATATGGGCTGCAGACATATTAGGCCTAGGCCAAAACATATGCCCTCGACACCCTTTAAAGGATGACGCATGTAACATGCTCCCGAGTAATAAATCTTCCGGGTAATATAGACCAAGCGTAGCTCATATGAATAGCTTCTGATCTGAGTGATTATCCCTTATGGGATACTCCAAAATAGATGTAACAATTGAATCCCGACTGGCGCAAGTATTCAGTTGATAACCCTTACGGGGAATAATAAATAGTCCAGTCTTTGAGCATATAAAATAGACCCATGATCATGAATTCATGTTGCATGTATCCGGAGCAAGTCCAAATTGAAGATATAATACTTGTATTTGAGCTAGTAAGCCCCTGAGCACGTAGTCACAATTGTTCATTGATGGTAGCTGACGCAGTTGGCATAGAGACAAGACAACCAATATAGAGAGAATATTGCCCACCAGAGGTGGCAAAAATATTGGTGGTAGTGAAGATAGTGATACCGATCAAAAGTACTGAAGTCGCATAGCCATGGAGGCGAAGAAACCAGTCGGCGGCAGTCAGGTCAACCAGCAATGAATATGAAGGCGCTCAGCGATAAAGTTGTGTAGTTGACGACAACAAACGCAATCGACATGATGAAGATGACGATGTCGGTGATCCAGCCAATAGCAGTGTAGCAACCAATGATAATGACAAAGACGCTCATCAGCATTTGCATAGTAGGTCAACCGTGAAGGTGAAATAATAAGTCGGCGAAAACATAATCATCCATTAGCAACAGCAGAGATGTCAGGGTCGATGAAGCAGAGGTGCTGGTGATGATGTCAGTGACAATAATCCATCAAATTAATGTTATAGCTGTTGTAGATGCTTCACTTGGAGGAGAGTTGATGTTGTTGCCCAACTCGTCTAAACCGAAATATTTGAAGTTGTTGAAGTAGAATGTCTGCTCCGAAGCAAAGATGAAGATAATGACTCCTGGAGTTGACTCGTGGGTTGATGAATTGATTTCTTCAGCTTGACATAAAATTTGTCAAATTTTGAGCCTTGTATTTGTGTAGCCCCCGACTCTTTGATTAGTTGGGAAACAACTGAACATAGAGTCGAGAACTGTAGCCTCTTGTCGTCGAATAGTTATTGCTTGATTGAAGATATGTGTTGAAGATGTCCAAGTAGAAATCCTGAATATTGGAGAGCCTCTTGTTGTAGTAAAATAACATGGCATCGCATGCCGAGATGTCGAGGCTCACAAAGACGTCGTGGTTGGTGAAGTAGCAAAACTTGCGAAGTAGCAGCAATAGAGTTTGCCAGTGCCGAAGATAATAAAGATGAAGTCGCTCTATCATGATGACAAAGTTGCATTGCCGTGATGAAGTGAACACGAGTCGTCGGCAACAGAAGCAAACTGGTAGTGAAGACGCGCAGTTGTGAAAATAAAAGCACTAGTCGGCGACAACATAACCAGTCGGCGACGGAAGACGATGATGTTCACGCTAAAATTAAAAGTTTGATCTTTATACGATGAACTTTGGGTGCGTTTAGTTCACGCTAAAATTAAAAGTTTGATTGAAATTAGAACGATGTAATGGAAAAGTTGAAAATTTGTGTATATAATGTTATGAAAAAGCTAGAAGTTTGAAAAAAAATAATGAACTAAACCAGGCCTTTTCCAAATGGGAATTGTAGATAAAGACTGTTCAATCATGATGAAGCTTTACGTAAGCGGTGACGAAGCAAGTGCACATGTGCCGGCGATCACATGTCTCTTTCTTATAAAGGATCAGACAGCAGTTCCATATTGGAGTATATTCTCCAGTACCTTCAGACAAACGAAAAATCAGCAAAGTGGCTGGTTACCCATCCTAGGCTCCCAGCGGTTTCTTGCAAAACAAGATGTAACTTCAGCGCAAATACTCTCTCTCTCTTTAATAGATAGCATCGTTGATTTTCTTTACCACAAGTTTGACCATTTATTTTATTCAAACAATTTACGTAAATTATATTATTTTGTTATGAGTTATTTTATAGCTTAAATTACTTTAACCATAATTTATACCTTACACATTTATATAATTAAAATTGGTGAAACGTGTGTTCAAAAGTCAACGACGTAATCTATTAAAAGACGGAAGAAATATAAATGTAGAAATCTTGCAGGCGAAGCAGGTAAGACATTGGAGGGATGACCGGATGATCACCAAGTCAGAAATGGCGACTTGGTACCATTCTTCCTGGATAATTCGAGCTGAAGGCATTTTGACTCGGACACTACAAATTAGGTGGATCTCCTCTTCTGAAGATCACACAGTTTTTCAGGCTTCTGAACTTGCTCAGCTAGCCACTCTGCTCCAACGCACGCAGCTTAGCTCGGAGTGACAACGGAATGGCTACCATGGATGAGCAGCAGCCACTGCACATCCTCTTCCTCCCGTTCCTCGTGCCCGGCCACCTCATCCCGATCGCCGACATGGCCGCGCTCTTCGCGGCACGCGGCGTCAGGTGCACCATCCTCACCACCCCCGTCAATGCCGCCGTCGTCCGCCCTGCCGTGGACCGCGCCAACGACGACGCTCTCCGTGGCGATGCCGGCGGCGCACCGGCGATCGACATCGCCGTCGTGCCATTCCCGGACGTCGGGCTCCCGCCGGGCGTCGAGAGCGGCACGGCGCTTGCTTCCGAGGAGGACCGTGGCAAGTTCGTCCATGCCATCCAGCGGCTGCGCGAGCCGTTCGACCGGTTCATGGCGGAGCACCACCCCGACGCCGTCGTGGCCGACGGCTTCTTCACTTGGTCCGTGGACGCCGCCGCCGAGCACGGCGTCCCGCGGCTGGTGTTCCTCGGCACCGGCGTGTTCGCGCGGTCATGCCAGGAGAGCATGGTGCGCCACAACCCGGTGGAGGCCTGCCCCGACGACGACCCCGACGCCGCCGTGTCCCTGCCGGGGCTGCCGCACCGCGTCGAGATGAGGCGGAGCCAAATGATCGACCCAAAGAAACGGCCGGACCACTGGGCCTACTTCAAGATGATGAACGACGCCGACCAGAGGAGCTATGGCGAGGTGTTCAACAGCTTCCACGAGCTGGAGACGGACTACGTCGAGCACTACCGCACGGCTCTCGGCCGCCGCGCGTGGCTCGTCGGGCCGGCGGCGTTCGCGAGCAAGGACTTCGCGGCGAGAGGCGCCGCCGAGCTCTCGCCCGACGCGGACGGCTGCCTGCGGTGGCTCGACGCGAAGCCACACGGCTCCGTGGCGTACGTCTCCTTCGGCACGCTGTCCAGCTTCTCGCCGGCGGAGATGCGCGAGCTCGCCCGAGGCCTCGACCTCTCCGGCATGAACTTCGTGTGGGTCATCAACGGCGCCGCGGACGACACCGACGCGTCGGGTCAGTGGATGCCCGAAGGCTTCCCCGAGCTGATCTCGCCGCACGGCGATCGCGGCCTCACCATCCGTGGGTGGGCGCCGCAGATGCTCATCCTGAACCACCCCGCCGTCGGCGGGTTCGTGACGCACTGCGGGTGGAACTCGACGCTGGAGGCCGTGAGCGCCGGCGTCCCAATGGTGACCTGGCCGCGGTACGCCGACCAGTTCTTCAACGAGAAGCTCATCGTGGAGGTTCTCAAGGTCGGGGTCAGCGTGGGGTCCAAGGACTTCGCATCGAATCTGGAGAACCACCAGGTGATCGGCGGCGAGGTGATCGCCGGAGCTGTCAGGAGGGTGATGGGTGACGGTGAAGAGGGCGCCGAGGCGATACGGAAGAAGGCAGCGGAGCTAGGCGTTAAGGCGAGGGGCGCCCTGGAGAAGGGCGGTTCGTCGCACGACGACGTTGGACGGCTGATGGACGCGTTGATGGCACGCCGGACCTCTGTTGACGTATGAGGTGGCGGTTGACGTGAGGAACGCCGTCGGATGGTGACCGGACAGCACACGCGTTGTAAAATTCTGGTTATACATATACATGAGTATAACGTTGAGCGGCCCCCGCAATTGCGCAGCTAGCATTAATTTAAAATTATCTATTTTTTATATATGATTTTATTTAAAATTATCATTTCCGTGATTCTAATAATTTTATAGTTTTTAAAAGCTATGCCAATCGTTACCCTTTACTCCTTTGTATCCTTTTTATTTGCTTACTTGATCTACCACTATTTATATTCATCATCTTTAGAACTTTAAAAATTAGGCCTTATAGTTTTCAGAGTTCATTTTCTTGATGGATTTCTTATTCATAATTTTTGGAAGTATCATCAAACATCGCCAATTAACTACTCTATGGCCCGTCCGTTGCTACTTCTCTTTATTGTCATTGGATTTTAAAAATCGTATATAATTATTGCTTATGTTCTTTTTTTACTTTCTATAAGTCTCGCCAAATCATTAGTGGCTTTGCCACTATACCCAGCCCGCCCACTGTCTCCTTTCCTTATTGTCATTGAGATTTTAAAAATCAAACATGATTATCATTGGGGTTTATTTTTACTCTCTATAAGTCCCGTAAACCGTAGTGACCATGCTGCTTAATGACATGCCTATCGTCACTTCTCTTAATCATTATTGGGATTCTGTTTGGGGTTTGTTTATAGTTTTTAGATATCCCAGCAACCGCCAGCACTCTACTTCTTTACAGACCTGTTGCTTCTCCCTTTTTATTGTCATTTGTCATCGTTGTGTTCTAGATGGATTTTTTTAATAAAAAATGCATATTTTTCATTCCAATGATTTTTATTCATAAATTATATTCCTACTTAAACTCTTATAATTATTTTTCTATTTTTGAAATTTATTTTATTTGTTATTTTGAACTTTAATAATCTCGTCATGTGTTCTAGATCGTCCTCCACACTTAGACCGGCCGTCTCTACCTTCTTGTCGATGCCTTGGACCTCACCCCCTCGACCTCGACGCCTCTTTTCCTCACACACGACAACACCAACCTCATTGCCACAGTTGGCTCCCTCCTTATTGATCCCGTTGATTCTGACAATCCTCGATGCCCTCGCCAACCTCCACTCTCTCTAATGCTCCAAGATTTGGTCTAGGAAAGGAGAAAGATGATAGGAAATTGCCTTAGTATTGGGGATGATGGTTGAGAACTCGATGGAGGGAGGAGGAGAATGGCGATTAGTCCTCGGGCCAATGGGGCGGAGTAGCTGACGAAGAGAGGATGAGGACAAATCGACTGGAGAGCAAAAGGATTCAGTGGGGAGGAGTAATGGATCTAGAGATAAACAAATCTAAAAATAACGGAGAACCGAGCGTTGCTCGGTTGGCTAGAGTCGCCAGGTGAGCGAGCAGCCCGCGCAGGTTCGATCCCTGGGATCGCAACTCATGTTTCCCATGCACTGAGGCCTATTGCCTCCAATCTCATGGTGTGTGTAAGTGTGCGTTCTGAGTTGTACCCTTCTCAAACAAAAATTAAAAATAACGGCTAGCCCTTAATTTATCTCGTGGCACAGAATCCTGTCTCGTAGTTTTTCTGTTTTAGTTTTTTTCTTTTCATCTTCTGAAGCCATGTCTTCTACAAACCCATTTAGAACATTTGAATCGGGTTCCCAAAAGCATACTATTCTTGATATATCGCATTTACTCTGATATATCGCATTTACTCTGCAGTGCATGCATTATTTTAGCTATACTAGAAAAAATGCCCGTGCGTTGCAACGGGTAATTGATATTTTAATTTTATTATTGTTATACGGTTTAGCTAGGGAAAAATTCACTGTGGGAATTCGCTTGAAATTTTTTTTCAGAAAATCATGAGCTGCAATTAAGAGTATGTATTTCATCTCAAGTTAGCATGCGACTTTTTTCAAAAGATTTCTTATACGACTCTTTTTATACTTTCAAAAGGAAACAAGCTTAAAATCCAACTCAAACATGGATATTGTCGACGTCTGATATCGCGGTTCCGGTATTTGCATGGTATGTGGATCGTCGGTGTTAGGGTATACGCGAGACTAAGGTAAAAGAGATGGAGACAGGGATTTTTATACAGGTTCGCCCCCCTGAATTGTCAGGTAATAACCCTGTATCCTGTTGGCCGGAGCCAGTCGTTGTTCTTATTCACCATAATCACACAAGTATAATATTTGGGGTAGCCTATCTAACTGTTGTCGACATGGCGGTCTGAAGGTCTGAATCGTAGTCGACAACAGGGTAGCCTTCCTCCTCGAATCCGTGCCCGGCGAGATCAGAGATAGCGCTTTCGTCTCTCCTGACAGTATCCGGAGACACCGTAGGGTACTAGCCGTGCATATCCCTGAAGTCGATATTCGGCGGCGTGTCTTGGCGTATGTAGGCTTCTATGTCGATTGTGTTGGGTGTTGATTCTCTCGTGTCCCCTCTCCTCCAAGGGGGGCTTGTATTTATACCCATAGGTGTCCCCTTGTCCAAGTAGAACTAGGGAAACCAATATGGATACAATCCGAGTAGTCATTGTCGTTTCCATGTAGAACTCTGGTTGTCTTTCCTTATCCGGAACTCCCTCGAGGTCAGTTTCCGTATAAGACATGGTATGTGGTGGTTCCTGCCGAGATTTAGTCAACTACTATTAGGTATGTGGTATCCATAACCCTGACAGTAGCCCCCGACTTCAATGCAAATGAACGAGTTCATATTCTCAACCGCAGACTTTGGAGGAACTGTTATCGAGCTCACGTGACCGTTCTCGGTGAGTTTAGAGATAACGTTAGACTTCCTTTATCAGTCTCGTGCGGGCACCGAAAGGGTTTGTCTGAGTCAATCTCTGATGTCAACCGAGAAAGTACAGAGCGTACGACTATGTTTCTCGTCTTGCTGTAATCGAGAATTTGGATTGAAGTCAAGAAATTTTATCTCGGCGGGTACACCATTTCTTTATTCCATATTCCTTGTCGAGATCCACCAAACCGTTCTCGAGTGATCGAGAAGGCGTAGAGTCTGCGACGGAGCCTTGTCAACATTTGTCGTACTCGCCTTAGTCGATCTTGGTGTGGAACCATAGAGACATAGAGTCTTCGATAATGTCGAATAGAATTTTCCTGAACTCAATACTCATAAAAGAATATTAGTTAGAAATAGCCCCCGAGCGAATGCTCAAAGGGTGACATGTTATAATATGACAGACTAGTAAATTGAATGTACAGACCAGTGTTTTGTATACGAGCGTCTTCTCTCTTACCGACTCCGATCAGTCAGTTTGTAGAGTCATACACTCTCCCTAGCCCCCAGCCTTGTCGTCGGAGAATCGTTCTCGGATGACAAGGCTCTTGGACCTTTGACCTGCCTCGGTTGAACAAGCACTGATCGTAGCCCCCAGCCATGAAGTTGGAAAACTCAATTTCCGATTACACGGCTTGGTTAATACGCACGGCGAGAACTCTTACACGACCAGATCTTACATGGTCTTTCGTCTCTGAAGGATCCGACAAGGCCTTATCGGCTCTGGGCGTCCCCAGCCGAAGTTCCCTCAGGTTCCTCGGAGGCCTTGTCAAGACGGCGTAAAGGGACAGTAGGATAGGTTTCAAAGCTAGGTGTCATCGTGGTAAGGGATCTCTGGGTAAAACACTTGGCGATCTTGTGTACCTGATATCAATTTTGTTCGAGAACCAGGTAGTAGTTGTAACTCAACCACTAGAAGTAAATGTACGAGAGATTGCTACGATTGACTGGTTGAGAACCAGTGAGTAGGTGTCTCTCGATCATTTGAAGTCGTGGTGTGAGGACCGCTGCGTTATTGCTGTAGTCGTACCTCGATCATCTGAGGTTGCGGTGCGAGAGATTGCTACGTATTGGTTCGAGGACCAGCGAACGTGTAGAATTATCTCTCGAACACCAATGGAGGTTGCGGTGCGAGAGATTGCTACGTGCTGGTTCGAGAACCAGCGAGCGAGTAGAGTTATCTCTCGAACACCAATGGAGGTTGCGGTGCGAGAGATTGCTACGTGCTGGTTGGAGAACCAGCGAACGTGTAGAATTATCTCTCGAACACCAATGGAGACGCTAGAGTTGGTTTATGTGCATCTCATGTGGCCAGCATGACTCACACACCCAACTTGTAGTATATCCGGATGTCCGTTCGCAATCATGTCGGGTGATCAAGCCGACGGTGTTCGCGAGGAATTATCCGTTAACAACCTTTTCTCGAGTAGTCCAGCCATGGCCGGTGCTATGAGATAGGTCGTCGGTCTTCGTTGATAGGTTGGGCGCGACGACTCTGCATTTGCCGAGATCGTTCTCGATAATGTGGTGTACTTGACCACAACCTACTCGAGTGCTCAATTGTTCTTGAAAAATATTTTCTAGAAGACAAGACATATAGCAGATAATATCGAGTATGTACTCAAAAACTGCATGGATCTTCTAGTATTATCAGGATATAACGAGCAGATGTAAATATCAGGGCATTATGTAAACCATAAACAAGCATGATTCATACAGAAGAGAGCAGAGCGAGCCCCCAGCGTCGGTTTAACGTCGGAAACACTCGCGCGATAGATATTGTATAGAAACATGCTCTAGGTAAACATAATAAATTATAGATCTGACAATGCTGTATGATCTGAATAGGTACGATAAATTCCAGATAAAATATTGCGTATCTTTGTAGATACAAGCCGGATGTATCTACGAAATTAGTAGATCAATTTAAAAAACCAATCTACCAATTACCTTGTTGCGTACTCGTTCGATGTCATGCGATCTGACATCTTTTGGTACGCCGCGAAGCTTGAGGCTTGGATGATCTCGATAGACCAAGTTGTCGATGACGATAATTGTTCCGATCTTAGTCGGAAGATTTACTTGGACAGGTTGGATCTCTCCACGGCCGAAGTCATCGAGTAGCTTGTTGTTGGAGAATCCATCTCTTAAACCCATCTTGTCTAAATCCTGAAGCACCAAAATCCCCCTACCTGGCACGCCACTGTCGATATCTGATGTCGCGGTTCCGGTATTTGCATGGTATGAGGATCGTCAGTGCTAGGGTATACGCGAGACTGAGGTAAAAGAGATGGAGACATGAATTTTTATACAGGTTTGGGCCCCTGAATTGTTAGGTAATAACCCTACATCCTGTTGGCCGGAGCCGGTCGTTGCTCTTATTCACCATAATCACACAAGTACAATATTTGGGGTAGCCTATCTAGCTGTTGTCGACATGGCGGTCGGAAGGTCTGACTCGTAGTCGACAACAGGGTAGCCTTCCTCCTCGAATTCGTGCCCGGCGAGATCATAGATAGCGCTTTCGTCTCTCCAGACAGTATCCGGAGACACCGTAGGGTACTAGCCGTGC